TGTGTTCGCGACATGCCACCAAGTTTTTTTACTCTTCTATGTATTTAAATGGCTGAAATTGCATGGCTCAGGGAGGATCGCATCCGATCCAGCTTAGTGGGTGCCGTGTGCGGTAGTCTGTTGAGTGTCGGTATCTGCGGACTGGTAGGAATGGTGTGGGCATGCAATATTTTAATGGGGAAGAGGGAAGAACAGGGCGGCATATAACATCTGTTTTGGAAATTCGCAAGTTCTGATATTAACTGATTTCTGCGCCTACAATTTTCCACATAAGATTTGAATGATTCGTATTTAGTATGTGCTCTGCATGCAGTAGGAAAGAGGGCTGAACAACACGTATTAAACGTGTACAAAATTTTGAGGTTTTGGGATATTTACGTGTTTTTAGCATGCAAAACACTGATGAAAGGCATATATATGTGTTCTCAAACAAGTGTTGTTTGGTCCTTTTGTTGCTAGGGCATGCAGCAATGTATGATATAATGGAAATTTGAATTATGCATGGGCGTGCAAACATCTGTCCTGGGATTGCCTCGGCACACCTCACTAGGACAAAACAGGCCAGATGACACAGTCCTGACACAGTCTGCTCAAAATCCAACCGTGCACTTTCGGCAAATATGGTCCCAAAAACAACACAGTTAGTACACACATTAACTCAGTTTCAACTGCGTACCCAACAACTGTGTAGACTACACGATTTCCAACAATGCACGATTAAAACAGTGCCTAGTGCCTTGCAATGCGTGCCTCAATCTCGGAACTTGGTTTCCTAGCTGGGAAGAATCCCGAAGCGGAGGCAAATTGGGATACATATGTTAAAAGTTTGGCAACATTAAGTCTCGAATCTGAGCGCAGTATTTTGCAATTTGAATGAGAGGTAAATGGTGCTCTTTGCTGGCATTGCGACAGCGCTCGGGAGCCGCTCGGGCGGCAGACGGCGGGAATAACTGCAACACGGGTCACAAGTTGGAGTTTCCGCGTCAGGAATTTTTTCTGGAATAGTTGGGGGACCACAAGACTTTTTTTGGAAATTATTATGCGTGAGGGCTTCGGCAGCCTCTGCGCCGTCCAGGCATTCGGGTTCGCTGCAGTGGCGCTGGCATTTAGCAGTCGGCTTTAACACATAAGCACACAAATGCTTGTTTTATATCTCTTCTTTTTTGGTATATGCTTTTGCTTACTTTTGTTTGGGAATTGGTCGCGGCTTCGCCCACGGTGTATGCAAGTCGCGCATTATCGATCGTCTGCTTTATTGAGGGATAAATGCTTCTAAGGGATTCCATAGGAGCATTCTTGTCGCCAATGCCTGCACCAATCCGTCCCAACTGCGCCAAGGTATGGTTTGTGGTGGGGACCGTTTTCCAACTGTTGATTTTTCCTTGGAAAGTTACATGTAGGTAAAGTACAGGCTCGAGGCTGCAATTGAAAGTACAGTCCAAAAAAGCGAGGCGGTTGGAGTGGGCAAGAGTTGGTGACTCGAGTGTTACGGTGTTACGGGAAAGAGGTGTCAAACATTGAACGGACCCTGACGCGTTGAATGGGGGAATGCCGAAAGCCTCAGGTGTACACAAACAGTGTTACGTTAGCACTGTGTGCGAAAGCGGCTGTTGAAGGGGTGCTGCATACAGCTTATGTATAGCGTTGCATAGTCAGCAGTCGTGCTGCAAATATACATGCCTAAACACCCCGTTATGCAAAGGTCGACCAACCGAAGTGCAACTAACACCACTGGGGAAAAAGGTCCAGATGACACGTGCTCAAACGTGTACAAATTTTACGGGTTGGGTTATTTTTATCTTCTCAGCGTGCAGTACTTTGATGAAATGTGTTTTATGTGTGTTGGCAAAAGTGTTATTTAGCCCTTTTGTGGCTGGTGCACGGAATGGATCGCGGGTTGGGGAGGACAAGGTGAGAAGCACCTGGATCAACAGCATGGCGGCTTCCCGTCACAGTCGTTGTGGTAAGTCGCCCTTAGATTGTAGCAGGTCACGCCTAGGTGGAACGGAATGCCTTTTGCACAGGTCGCTAACGCAAATAACGCGTCAGTATTTGAACTGCCCTACTAACCGTCTCCTTATGCCGCCAACTGTAAAAAATCCCTACAACATCGTAACAAGCAGTAGAAAATACGCATACCACTTTTATCTGTTCATATTCTTTTCATTCTCAGGAAGAACAATCTTTTTAATGGCTCTATTGGGCAATAATAATGACTGACTTGCCACTCCCAGCAAGCTTGCCATGTTCTCATTGCCTGCCAAGATTTTCATCAGTAGTTCCAACATCTTACCACTCGAAATCATGAAAATTTTGGGGGGCCCTTCTTGTTGAGATATGAGTGAACTGAAAGCCTGTTCCGCCCCTTATCCGAACCATATCACCTCTCGAGAGGAGATCTCCTCATACAGCGCATATGTTTCAATGCGCAACTCATCAGAGATTCAGCCTTTCTGGTACACCATTTATACTACCTCTGTTCCAAAAGTATTGTCGCTTCCTTAATTCGATCAAACGAAAGTCGACACGTGCGAATCAGAAAATCCAATCAAAACAAACTCGACACGCTTTATTGTGAGGCATCCATAGAGCCCTCAAACGTAGCAAACGGCACTGCCGTTCTTGAGTTACATGAGGAAGAGCTAAAGTGCGACTGTGCTTTTTACCGTGACCTAAGAAGGAGCATGGCGATCTCGCCCTGCCCTTCAATGGAGGTTGGTCGAGCTGAGCTGTCTCTAGGAAAGATGATTGACTTAATGGCTTGGTACGCAATAAAGATTCGGCTGAACTCAAAGCAAATCCCACAAAGACACAATGCGGGTTGTTGCAGATTATTTGGGGTGCCGACAAGAGTTTTGTGTATGTCGCGGCCAAAGGCCAAGACACCTAAGACCTAAACCTAAATTAATGCAAGAACATTGAACTAGCTAATACACCAAGCTTAGGAACGCCGTCCACAATGGGCACTGGCCCCAAGACGGCTTAGATTGGTACCAACATCGGCAGTGGTTGAAACTGTGCATTTCGGAGATTTGAGTCAGCACACGGAAGAGATGGCTCACAAAGAGTACGATTGCTATGATGCCAAACTCCTAAAAAGTTATATTGTCATCAACTTATTACCTGCAACAGGGTTTTTGAATCGTAACGGGGAAATAGGCTGGCACCCATGGGGATAATGTGAGCGTAAAACTATTGGGCTTGAGGACCTGACGGAGATAGATAGGGACGTTTTTCATGGGGCTATGATTTTTTTATTGTATGGAAATGACTAATGCGACCAAGATCCACATAAACCCCAAATCGACCAAAGAACCCCAACCTAGTAGTGGATTGACGAATTGAGTTGGTCCTGCTAAGTTGTAGCAAGATCAGGGAAGCGGCAATACTTTTGGAATGGAATTAGTATATCCCTTTTCTGATTGCCCCTCAAACACCTGTGAATTCACAATACTCAGGTGCACTTCACCTATTCGCAAAGCATGGCGTAGTCTTCCCAAAATTTACACCTGTTTTTTTGAGAAAGCGCAACTTCTAGTATTATGGAAACCATTATCATAGAAAGAACGCCAAAATGGCCTCAAAACTACCCAGGTTGCGATTGTGTTTTTTCAGCAGCTTATCCGCTAGATAGCCACATATGCCAAATCCTAGGTCATTAAGTCAAAAAGCACCTTGCGGGGATCCCGTAGCACTTATGCATCTCAAAAACTAGCCAACCTCTTTTTGATGCTATTGCATCACTTCAAATACACCTCGAAGCATGCAGCTGCCCATACTTTAATTTCCTTAAGATGTTCAAGTCTTTGCGGTAGTAATTTCCCCTTAATCAGAAAGGTTTTAATCCAAAACTAAAGACAATATTTAGTGATTATTGAGAAATTGAACTTTGACACTTTTAAAAATTACCTTGTAAGCAATTTTCTACCATTCACTCAATCATTGAGTAAAAACATTATGTTTTTATTCCTCCTTAGCAAGACTAGCGGTGGCCAGCATCCGATTGGCGTGTGGTGCATTGAAACATAGTCATGCGCCATGTTTAAACATGACTGAATTTCAGTCACGAGCCAGCCATTAAGCGACATGGCACAAAGGCCCTATATATAATTTCTCGCAATGCACGGCCCTTGCAACGTGCTGTGAGCCCCCACCCCCACCCCCTGCCCCCGCCCCCCCGGGTTTTGAAGTGGGGTGCACCATTTTAATTGGCCATGACCTAAAGTAGTGCTGGCCCGGCCTGGTCCTGGGCCAGGACTCCTGGGCCAGTCCTGGTCCTGTTCAATTTCAGGGCAGCTGGCCACAAGGCCGAGAACGGGCTTTTGCCCAGTCCCGGTCCCCGTCCCAGTCCTAGTCCTTGCCCGGTCCTGGCAGGCACACCTCTGGTTGGAGTGCGGTCGCAGCCAATCGTTCGATGGATGTCTTGAATCTTCAACCCTGAAAGTTCTTAGATAGGTCGTCCGGGCAAAGTAAAACTCTGGTGCTCTCGGCGCTCAGTCCGCTCTAGGTTGCAACGGGCAACCTGGCTTGTGTGTCTCGGCCTGCACACTCCATGCCTTTGGAGCCGATTGACAAAAAGGTAGGCAAGATCGAGGGGCGGCGTTCCCTGACCTGGTATCGCAGGCTCGAGTCTACGGCAATTGTTTACAGCCGAGGCAAAGGGACAACAGGAGTTCTGTCCCTTATGTCCAGTCCATTCATCAACGCCCTTAATGCAGTTCCTAGTGCCTCATCTCTCATGCGTTCAATTATCAATAGTACTCAATCAGTTCAAGCAACACCACCACCCTGCACTGACGCTCACGTCAGCCCCGACTAAGCCCCAGCGAACGCAAGCCCATGCCGTCCCCCACCCCCACCGCCCACCCACTCCGCCTCGAGCCAGGCCACCCCCGGCCTTCACCCTTTTCACCCATCGGCCCAATCCGGCAGCCTCAGCCGATCCAGGTCAGATCCTCCCCGAGGATCGGGCCAATCCCGCCCAAAAAGAGGGGATCGAAATGGCGATGTTTGTGGACGCGCGCACGCGCGCGCTCCAGGCGGCCAGCACGGACGCCGTACTGCCCAGCTCGAGCGATCCGGTGGCGGACCTGGCGGCGGAGCGAAGGCGCGCGGGCTTCGACGTGGCGGAGCTGATGCGGTTCTTGCACGGCGGGCAGGAGAGGATCGATCGAAAGTGAGTTTGGGGATGCGGGTAATACTGTTGCGAGGCGGAATTACCAGGAATGATACCAATTTTCGTTCGATTTTGGGGGAGACTTCGTCCAATTTTAGGGAGATCTCCACCATGTCGACGGAGATGTTCTCCATGTAAGGAGATAGGGGGGCAACGCAGAGACAAAACAAGGCCGGTGCGAGGGTGCGGAGGGCTGAGGGGGTGAGGTTTGTTGCAAAGGGAAACAGAAACAGGTCGTGCAAAGGGCGTCCCTTCCTAGGCATGCGTGCGGGCGAGACTCTTTGCTGTGAAAAGATGTTGGGATGAGGTGATGGACAATCTCTCAGTGCGAGATAATGAGGAGGGCTGGGTCGTGGGTGGGTGCGTGGGTGGGTGGGTGGGTTTGTGGGTAATATTTCTTGCTGAAGAGAAATGGGTCCTGCAAAGGGTACCCTCCCTCCTGGGCAAGTGTGCACGAGACACTGTGCCATGGCATGAGAAAATGGAGATTGGGGGATGGGGTTTGCAGGTGGAGGTAAGACTGGTTGTTGGAAAGAGCTGGTTGTTGGAAAGAGGAATGAGTTACGCAAAGGGGGCACCCTTCTAAGCATCTGTGTGCTTGAGACTCTTGACTTGAAAAACGGTGTGGAATCTCCTGATGCCAGATTATGGGAGGTGGGGATTGTCCTGTGTAGATTTTCTGGCTTGTGGCTCTGGCGTGGATTGTTGCGAGTTCAGGGCGATGGCTGCATTTGTTGCGGCTCCGATGCCGGAATGGAAGGGACAGGGGTTGGAGAAAGGGGAACAGGGGGTGGGAAACTGAGGTTTGTTGCTTGCCCGCGGAAATGGACAGCCAACAATGGCATCCAGTGAGGCTTTTTTGTGACTCATTGCAGTTGGCTCACAGAAATAAACAAAAAAAGGATAAGTTTTCCTACATATGGTGTCATGGCAAGGATGTGCATGTCACCGTCTGTGCTATTTCCACAATACATGACCCATCAGAAGGTATAATGGCCACGTCTGGACAGCCCATGCGTCACCCAAATCAACGAAAGAAAATTGCATCAATTAGCCCATCTACAGATTCCCCTGATGTGAGCTCCCAGAGGTGGTCTGCCAAGCACTGCATACTGTGTGGCTCCAATGCTTCGTGGATTGGGGATAGTTGGGCATCGGGCTTGCTTGGGTTCTCATGTTCCACTGCTCCAGCGCTCAGCAGATCGAAGATTCAGTATGGCAGACAGAAACCACTTCAGCCACATTGGGCATTTTGCCCTGCTTGTTGCAGCGAATCTTGGATTTCCATGGTGCCAGAGCTCTGGAGATGCGGATCTTGAGGATGAATTGGGATGGGATATGCCAAGAGTGACCATCCATTTGAATTTGCTTTCTAGCGCATGACAAAGATTGCCAGCGGCCCTGCAAGGTGACTCTGTGCAGATATCTAGCAACACTCGTGGAGGAAATTTCGCGGCTAGAAGGAGTGACATCTCAGTGTCTCTCTAAAGTACATGAAAGTGCAATGGGCACCCCCTTCTTGAACGGAGGGATGATGAGGCTTTGTTCCATACCATAGAAATGATGCAGAAGCATCTAAAGCAGAATTCCAAACATGCATTCAAACCTGCGAACAGACTACCTCATTCATGAATGTTTGTCCATGTCTGTGTGCTCGAAAGCTGGGAGTGAGAAGCCCTGTGCTGCTACCCACAAACTCAAGTGTGCCCTTCACCACCCAACCCCAGACTCCCAAGAGAGCTTGCACCTTCAACAATGAGCTCACAGTATTTGCGCAAGGCCAAGGATGGACTTGTGCATCTAGACCAGCAGAGCCTTGGAGGTACTGTGATACAATAGTAGATTGTGTATGTACTGTGCACTGCATGTCACCACAAAACACCACACGACTAGTTGTATTGTGACATGGTATGGGGGCGTATGGTGTCCGCGCTGTGCAGAGTGCGCTGTCAAGCAGCACTGGTTTTATGTACTGTGGGTTATGAATGCTGCACATTCTTCAGAAATTTTTTATCCTCCTCTTGGCCCCATGGTCCTGTTTCACAGCCCTCTTTGAATCATCTTCGTTCTATTTCATCAGAACATGATGAACCATCGGCTTTTGTCGTTGGTTGGCTCGTCAAGACCACATTAGTATAGAGTGGGAAGCAGTAATTTGTGATCACAAGCACAAAGTACAACTAAAAGTAATGGAGAGCAGCACGAGCATAGTTCGAGTGTTAAGTACAGGAAGGAGTAAATAAATATGACACTGAGGATGAAGTGTGACGCACATGTTTGCTTGGCCACCAACAGAGCCCGTCTGGCAGAGATGCTTCAAAAGACAGATTGGGGCAACAAGTCCCGTCGATACTTCATGACGACTGAGGAACAATACGTGGCGGGGCTGCAGGTGGCGTTCGGAATTCGGTGCGCAGTGCAGAACGTGTATTTGCACTTGAACAGCACTTCCTATGTATGCAAAGAGCACTTCTTTTCCAGAGGCTAAGCACTGTATGGATATGAGAACAACCGGCTTCTAGTGATGTGGGGACAGCGACATGGTCGTGCATACAGGCGACGTAAAGTCTATAGGGGAGCATGTCTTTTTGACAGCACGACTTACAGCTGCCAGTGTTGTATCATTACTGATGCTTGAGATCGACCAATTTGCATATTAGGAATCGTGTAACTAAAGTATGCGTACATGTCAATTTGGCATGTTTTGGTGTGAGTATTCGCCATCGTTGCTTGCCTGGGTAGGAGGTGATTCACCTCGATGTGTGCCTTGTTCTTTCTCGAATTGTGCAGCAGGTCACAGTGCAATGAAGCACAGTGCGGGCACAGCACATGAAACCACGAGCAAAAAGAAAAAAACAGGATTGTGGTTCAAATTTTATTTGCATTGGGCGGCTCGTGCACCCCGTGCATTGCGTCAGCAACGTCGACGTTGCTGATGACAGAACTTCTGCCTTTTTAGAGGGTTTGTGAAGGAGCATGGCATAAAAGTATTCATAGCACATCAAAGTACTGATGAATGCAAGAAACTAATACCCTGCAGTGGTTCAATGTGCCAGGCAATTCCGCAGATGCAAATCGCAATTGCAATACATATATTAATGCTGCGCAGTGCATAGCGGGTATAAAACAATATCTTTGGGAAGCTCCAAGAACGCTGTTTGGAAATTGTGGGGTGATATTTAGCACATTAGTGTACCGCTTTGCCCTAGAAGCGTGGGAAAAACTTGATGGTATTGAATACCGTAACACTGCTTCATGGTTTACGTACTCTGCAACCAATTGCTGATGGCGGACAACATTAATGGTCACGTCTATTCTGTTGAAACAGGCGGACCCGTGACACCAAAATGGGGACTTACATTTTAGATAGATTCGCAAAGAGTTTTGAAAGCATCGGTACACTTGTTGGTACTTTGGATCAGTTTAGGAATTCTTTCAATAAAATTTACGAAAGGGGATTTTTGGCTGTTCAGGGAACTCGTGAAGGAGCATGGGCTGAGCGAAGCTGACCGCCGCCTGCTGGCTCTCATGGTGGCCCTGCCAGGAGGTCTTGATGTTCACGACCTGGTGATCGCCTCGCTTCAGTGCTTTTGCACTTCCCTGCCGTGCCACTACTGTCGCCCTTCACTGGCATGCCAGTGCTTCCCTCTTTGCTGCCGTGCTAGTAGTTTCGCTCTTCGCTACTGTGCCAGTGCTTTTGCATGTTAGTGCCGTGGCAGTACAATGGCCTTTCCCTGCCATGCTTTTTGCGCTTGGACTCCCGGGGCACGACTGTACTAGTGGCCTAAGCTTGGGGCGGTTTTAGGCCAATGCCTTTCACTTTCTGGCTCTGCACCGCTGTGCCAGTACTTTGGCTCTTCGCTATCATGCCAGTACTTTTGGCACTTCTCTCCTGGCGGAGCACTGGCATTTAGAGTTCGCGCCCCCGGGCGCTGTTGATGCTGGTGACCCCTACGTGATCACCGATCACTTGGGCCCCCTTAACTCAGCCCACGCTGTTATAACATTATTTTCGGGAAAGACATGCGATCGGAAACGGAACACACATTAGCAATACAATACGTTAGCATGAATTACAGCACCAAAATAATGTAGCATAATACTTGAAATCTGGTTAATATGCTGTACTTCTATTGGGCTTGACACGCTTAGGTTTGTTTAGCAAGCAACCGATGGAGGTGTACGTGAAGCAGATGAATTCTGTGCTGTTGGGCGCTCCGCAGATGTTCGTGCCATGTTTCATTGACCATGGCACCGAGGAGCAGCAGGAGAAGTGGGTGGAAAGGGCGCGAAATTGCGAGGTCATTGGCGCATACGCCCAGACGGAGTTGGGCCATGGCACATTTGTGAGGTGAGAACTGTTGGGAATTGTACCTGGGCGCCAACGTGATAGACAGTACCTCTTTGAGCGCAATAGCTGTCGAACTATGCGTTGAGAAATATTGAGCGCGGAGAACATGCTAGTTGATTGCAATGTGTGCAAAGGTGAGATGTGTGCAAATTTGACGACGTCCTTTGCCCAGTGGGGTGTTGGTTAGGAACTGTGTATGAACAGTGGCTTTAGAAATCTAGACAAATGTAACGCCACGTTTCCTTTAAGATTGGTCAAGTGTTCTTATGCTTGTGAATGAGACAAAGCGCCAATCAGGTATACATGAGCATATCATGCGATAAATCGTCTGCTTGATTTCTCTGAAATTTGGAACCAAACGCCGAGCGCTGAGGCCCAGCCCACTCACGGCAGGCAACGAATTCGGACAACCTCAAGGCGGCTTTTAAGGTTTTGTTGCCTTGCTTTCTTCTCGCTTGATTATATCGAGAGTCCGTGCTTGTGTTGTCACAAATACACTTAAAGTATTAATCGTCTGTTCATTACCTGTGAACAATATTATGTACGTGAAACGCTTGAAATAGAAAACTGGTTTCTGTGCAAGGTGTCTCTACTGTGTTGTGCCTGACCAGGCTCCTGATAAACTGCGCACTATCATAATAAACGATTCAAATGCTTTCTTCCATTCTATATCTTGTAGCCTGTTGCACCATTTTTCTGTTTGCCATTCTGTTCTGAAGTAGTTCCCCTTCCTCTTAAGCTTTAGAATTTTCTTTTCCTCTATTCTTCGCTGCTTACCCCCCCAGCCCCCGTACCCCCTTCCCCAGGGGTCTCGAGACGACGGCCACTTACGACCCCGAGCGGGCCGAGTTCATTCTGCACTCCCCGACGCTCACCTCAACCAAATGGTGGCCCGGTGGCCTTGGCAAGACGGCGTCGCACTGCATCCTGACCGCCAGGCTCTTCGTCAAGGGCGTCGACAGGGGCCCACACGTCTTTGTGGTGCAGGTGGGGTGCAACGATGTTGCCAAATGGCTGTGCCACAATCGATTGGGACGATTCACGTTGGGGTCAAATGCTTGCACTGGTCGGACTGGCGCCTAAAAGCGCGGTTGTGACTGCGCGATTGTATAGCATGATCACCAACAAGTGCTTCACGCTAGCTAGGAATGGATGGGCTCTGGAACGTCTTTGCGTTGTGCATTGGATTTCAAAAAATAAATCATGGACGCCGCTTTGTTGGGGCAAGACAGGCAGCTGACGATTGCCTACTTGCCTTGCCATGCAGACTTTCATGACGTTTGCGCCATGCCATCCGCTCCAAAGAGGATTCACTGTTGCATTCCAGCTTGTTTAGGCATTGCGTGTTGACTTGGAGTAGAACATACGCGAGGTGCAGAAGTTCATTGTGCAGTCCGCATTACAACCGTTTTGATTCACACCGCTAAGAAATATTGAATATTGATATTGAATAGACATTCACATTGCAGCATATTAAATATCAGTGCATTGCAAGCCCAGGCGGCCGCATGCTCGACGGGGGCGCACACATCTTCGTTGCGCACGTGGGACATCCCCCCACCTTTCCGGTGCACAGGAGTTGGCCAAGAAATGGCCACCGGTTTTTGTCAATTGGTCAATTTTTTCAAGCGGTGAAGTGCACTAGTTGATGTACGCGGTTCATTCCACGGTCGAACAGTGTTGAATATTGTGCTGCTGGTTCCGTTGTCAGTACATTGCGTCAGTACATTGCGGCAGCCCTGACGATTTGGCGGCTGCCATGCAGCTTCGGTCAATGGAGGACCACAAGCCCCTGCCCGGGATCATGCTCGGCGACATCGGCCCAAAGTTTGCGTACAGGGGCGTGGACAACGGGTTCTTGCGTTTCGACCACGTGCGCGTGCGTAAGTGGCCAATGTACTAGAAGGGCGCTGCGTTGTGCTGCCACGTTAAAGTACTGGACCGAAGCTGTGCTGCGTTGCGGTGTTATGGACTGGACGGAAGTGGTCCTGTTTGCTATGTACTGGAAGCAAGCAGCGCTGTTCAGTGCTACAGAAAGGCTGGACGCATGACGTGATGTTTTCGCTGCATGACGTGATGATCGTACTTGTCGAATAGTAAAGTAACTAATGAAGCAACTACACTAGAAACTTCATAATTTGAGAAAGCAATGGGTTAGGCAATGTAACACAAATTGATGACCGGAAAGAGTACATGGATGAATAGAAAACTGAGGGCATGACGTTTTAACTTTCCATAACTGTCCAGCTCGATTCGCCCGGGGCACAAATGAAAAGCGCATTGTTATGCATTGCATAAATCAATAAACATACAAGACAATCTGTAAACAATCCAGGATTTTAATGCACACTGTTAACAACAACCACATAAATTGCAATGTAAGTTGATAAAATGTATAAATGTTTAGAGCGGCATGGGTCGTCTTCAATAGAATCATAATCGAAGGCATAATATGGCATCTATATTGTTCATATTGTGACGCTTCTGTGCGCCGTTCTCCCAGCTCGAGACGCCATGCTGATGCGCTTTGCCAAGGTGACGCCCGGCGGTGAGTACGTGCCGCCTACCGCCGACAACGCCAAGTCCACATACGCCACCATGATGTACGTGAGGTGCGGCCTGGCGGGCGACTCCGCCAGGCACCTGGCCATGGCTGTGACCATCGCCGTGCGCTACTGCGCCGTGCGAAGGCAGACAGCGCCGTCGCCGGGCCTCAAGGAGACGCAGGCAAGTCGTTGGATGGAAGGATTGTTGAATTGTCGATGAGCCCCTGTTTCAGGAACAAAGTTTGGCGTGAGTAAATGGTATGTGTGGTGCAAATTGTGTAAAACTCAATACTTCACGGCATTTGCTTCTACCACTTCTCCTATATGCAGTTTTGACAACTTGTCATGATTGTTGTCACAAACTGTATACCACTGCGAGAATGTCATAAAACTTATGATCGAATTAATGACAACGTCATGTTAACATCATTGACGCGCTTTCAGGGAAAATGGGTGCAAGCCACAGGTGGCCATAGCTTCACCTTGTACTAGGGTTTAATTAGTAACTGTCTAGTGCTAATTCCTGGATGTTGATTAAACGTGCGAATGAATAAAATTGCTGTGCTTCGCGCACCTCTGTCCAAGAGAGGCTTGGCTCGCAAGTGATCCACAAAGAAGTAGCCGGATGTGCGCGACTGTAGTACGTCTATTGTAGGGGGTTAGTGGCGTGCATGAGCGATTATACCTGAGTGATGAAAGATGCACATATGCGGGGTGGTGAAGCGTGCTTGAGTAGTACACAACTGAACGGTACATACACAGCATGTAAGAAATGAATGACACATGGAGTATTTGTCCACGAAAACTCTACCAGCGAGTTCGCTGAGCACCGAACAATTCACCAGCCAATATTTCATGACATACTGCGGTGAAAAACGCCTTTTTGGGGGGAGTGGCACATGCAAGTAGCACAAACTACTGAGCCTGGTGCGGCGCTTTTCCAGGAATGCGCTGAATTTTCGTCCTTGTTCCCTTAGGTCCTGGACTACCAGTCCGTGTCCGGCACCCTGCTGCCCCTCATTGCCACCTCCTTCGCCCTCCACTTCAGCGGCAAGGCCGCCATGGCGTCCTACCACGACTTTGAGCGCCGCCGCGACACGGGCGACTTCGACGGCCTGGCGGAGCTGCACGCGCTGTCGGCGGGCCTCAAGGCCCTCTGCACCTGGGTCACGGCCGACGGCATCGAGGCCTGCCGGCGCAGCTGCGGGGGCCACGGCTACAGCAGGCTGTCGGGGCTGCCGGACCTGTACGGGTTCTATGTGAAGGTGGGATCACTCTGCGCTTGGCAAGACACGGGCCCTCGGGCTGATGCTGTGAGTTTGCGAAACGCAGCGCGTTCCACAAAGCCGCCACTTCAGGAACAGGTGGTGCAACCAGGCGTTACAACGTGTTACGTTTCGTTCCGTTTTGTGTTAGAAAGCGTTGCGATGTGTCTGACAACCATGGATGCACTGATCGGCAGCCCGCAAAGTTGCCCGCCTCAGTATATACGACTGACTGTGCCCAAACTGTGTGAAATTGGTGGAAGCCGTGTGGCTGATGTTTAGATCGTGTGGAACCGGGACCAAATCGCGACATCTGAACCCCGTTTGTGTGGCCACTTTTTACCGGTCTTGATTGATTGACTGGCGCCGGCCAGTCGATCGGTTGATGAAACAAGATGGGGCACGGCCGCAGCGCACAAGGTGGCGTGCCTGGAATCACTGTTGCCGTTGTGTCGTTTCGCTCATGACGTCGTTGTCAATCCGAATCAGTTTTGATGTCTTCGCAATTGATTTTACAACCTATCGAAATTGATAGTACATGATGTGAGATGGCGACACGTTGTGCATGTGCAGCATCCTGATAAGTCAAATTGACAGAGTGATTGCACAGAGCGTGATGCTTGCGGACGATAATATGGTGCTGTGTTTTGTCAATCGAGCTCCTGCATCGGTTTCCAACATATGAAAGTCCGTGGAGATCAATGAGTGACGATAAAAAAGATAGGCAACGAAAAAACTCGCATCAGTCACTCATCTCAGTCCCCATCAATGAGAAGACAACTGAATCCGCACGCGTCTACTGCACAGAACGTGACCCTGGAGGGCGAGAGGAAGGAACTGTGCCTTAACCAGCAGCGAAGCCGCCACGCCAATTGCCAAATTGCTAAACAATTATGGCTTATCTATTTGCCTTGTTAATCAGGCTTACTATGTGGCAGCTTAGCTACCAATTGAATAAAACACTGAGATCGTTCGCACGCTTGAGCTGCTGCAAATGCGTAAGCTACTGAGTCCGCTCCTGCCTGCCCCCGCATAACATCACTCTCGAAGGCGACAACAAAGTGGTGTACCTTAATCAAGGGCCAAAATGCCGTGTCAATTGCCGAATTGCTGAATAGGTGGATTTCTTTCCAAACAACACGCTGGCATCCTTCACTCACTTCGCCTTCCATCAATGCGCGACTTATTGACTCCCCGCGTGCTCGCAGAGTGTGACCCTGGAGGGCGACAAAGCACCGTGCCGGGATCAACACATCAACGGCCATATCAACTGCAGTCCACTAAACTGAAATACATCATCTGATATTATTGCTGTTTCGACTAAAACGCTGTGTTTATTCACTTATTTACTTCCCATCAATGCACAAACTACTGAATCCGCTCCTGGCCGGCCATCTGCAGAACGTGACCCTGGAGGGCGAGAACAAGGTGCTGTGCCTGCAAGTTGGCCGCCACCTCATCAAGGCACTGCTGGCCGCCCAATCGGGCAGGCCCCTCCGCGGCGCCGCGGCCTACCTGTCGGACGGCTTTTTCGAAATGTCCCAGCTCTGCGCCGTGGACCAGCGGGCCCGCTGGCTGGACCACGGGGTCCAGGCGGAGGCCTTCCGGCGGGCGGCGGTGCAGGCGGTGGCCAGCGCGGCGGACCTGCTGAGGGAGGAGGGCGGCGGGGAGGTGGCGTTCGAGGGGGCGGTATGGAATGCCTGCAACGAGGCCGTCATCAAGTGAGCAATCAGCACAGGCGGCGCCAGGTGTATGTTGCATATTCAACAGGCGCCGCCTGATGAATATGGAGCATGCACTTGATGAATGACGAATATAAATAGAATTAGAAATGATGATTCCTACATCTTTCTTGTAAATATACAGGAATAGAAATGTGAATAGAAGCGGACAAATGGGTGATGAGAAATAGACATGAGAATGATGGGAATGGTAACCACAGAGCCAGTGTTGTGGTGATAGTGATAAAAACTGCAACAGCATTGAGAGCAGCAATTGTAATATGCTAATATAGGGAGAGACAGGCAACATCCCCGCCATTTTACTGGCATCAGTAGAAACGATGGGATCGGTAGCAACGGGAAAAGCGATCATGACAGCAACGTTGGTGATACCGGTACGATCACTGTAGCGGTAGCAACGGCAAGCTTGCAGCACAGATAATTGCGCAATCCCATGCGCACCATTTTTTTCCGATTTTCTTCCGGCGGCCGCCTCCCCTCTCTCAATGTGCGCTGGCATTTCCCCCTCCCGCCCGCAGGGCCGCCGTCGCCCACAACGAGTACTTGATGTTCAAATTCTTCATGGACGGTATCTGCGACGTCAACTCGCCCCGCCAGCCGGGGCCGCCCACCTTCGCCGTCCTGTGCGATCTGCTGTCGCTCTTCGCGTTGGACAAGTTGGGCCAATGCACGGGGGACCTGCTGGAGACGGGCTACGTCGACGCGAAGCAGGTCAGTCAAGTCCCTTTGTGTGGATTTAACATATCTGAATTCAGACAGCATATTCTAATCATGTTCTAGATAGTTTAATTCAGCGAATTAGTCTGACCCAGACAGACTATTCTAAGAATATTCTGGATTAAAACTTTTTCGGTTGAGTTTGCCTTCGAAAGTGAAAGGGGGGCGTCTGCACCTTATAGGCGATGAAGCATGTGCATGCATAGGGAACGTTGTAAACCGCACCTCATCCGTTCATTTTATCTCCTCCTAACCTATCTGCGGCGCACAAAGAGTCGGGTAGTCAAGGGGAGGTGTCAGTTCAGATCGCAGCGATTGCGAATAATGTAGGGGTGCGCACACGACATTGTCGTCACTCAACATGCTTCTGCTGAAGTCGAATCGGTGTAGTTGACGTGCGAATGCCGCATTGCTTTAGTTGTTTTATTGATTCAACCACTCTACTTGCCTTGATATGTGATATCCTTGATGATGACTCGCCAGCCCAATCCACAGTTTTCACCGTATTTTGCAGTCAACAGGCGAGCAGCTAACAACGAATCGGCTGCCAGTCTTGAGAGACGATACATTGCCCTGTTTCGCGAAGATCTGCCCCCTCCAATGAGATTTTCTGTTTCCAGAGTATGAAGAACGCCTTCTCGAAAGGTGGTTGTTGATCCGCTGATTCACGGATTGGATAATTGGCGCTCCCAGGTCAAGATGATGCGCGCCCAGCGGCGCCAGCTGCTGCGGTCCCTTAGGCCCCAGGCCGTGGGCCTCGTGGAGGCCTTCGGCTTCCTGGACTACGAGCTGAACAGCGCGCTGGGGCGCGGCGACGGGGACGTGTACAGGGGCCTTCTCGAGATGGCGGCGGGCTCTCCGCTCAACCGCACAGAGGAGGGCCCAGGGTGGAAGCCGGTGCTGGAGGCCAGGATGCGGCCGCGGCCGAGGCTCTGACTCGAGAATCGCTTTTGAGAATCGTATCGAGAATCGTGAATCGTCCATCGAGGGTCGAGAATCTTTAGCCGAAAGTGGAGAATCGTCAGCCGGAAATCGTTAGTCGAGAATTGATAATCGATTTTGGGAATCGAAAATCGTCAATTGAAATAGACAATCGTCAACCGAGAATCGTTGTTCGAGAATCGAGAATCGAGGGTCGAGAATCTTTGGCCGAAAACGGAGAATCGTCAGCCGGAAGTCGTTAGTCGAGAATTGATAATCGATTTTGGGAATCGAAAATCGTCAATTGAAATAGACAATCGTCAACCGAGAATCGTTGTTCGAAAATCCAGAATCGATCTCGGGAAACGAGAACCGTTGACCGGAAATCGACAATCGTCAATCAAGATTCGAAAATAGAGAAGAAGAAGGGAACCTTTTGGGGTCTGGTGGGCGGAACAGGGCACTGCTGAGTGCCAAGTGTCGCGGCCGCTTGACCAAAGGGGGCAGGTGCCGAGTTCGAGGCGCGCAGGGTGACGCGGGATGGCTGTGGTTGCGGGGCTCTGATTGGCGGCTTCTCCCGGGCAACGGAGCGTCCTGACCGTTGACCGGCAACTGATGACGTCACCAGTTTCGCTGCTGATGCGCGGCCGCCAAAAGCACGGAAGGATTGGCTGAAAGGCGTTTGGTTGCGCTTTGGCGCTCGTTGCATTTCTGACTTTCGGCTTTCGGGGCATGGCTCGACGTAGTTTGGCCAAGACAGAAATTGTGTGAAATGGGCTCTCATTCGGCAGCGGTTTCGATTTCGGGCCGATCAATACGGTCGGCCTATGCCTGTGTTGTTTGTGTTGTCTTGCAGCATCGCTGTGTAGTGGCTGAGGTTGGAGGTTGGTCAACCTGGTACATCAGAACACGACTCCACATTGTAGAGGAGCTTTTTATGGCACAAAGTTGTATTTTTTGGATACCACTGGGGCAGAAATTGCATGAAGATGAGCCGAAGAGCCCCGACTTGTGGAGAGGCACAGAACCCCGCGATGTTCTTTCATTGTTGTGCGACTGCCAGAGTCTCTCCACAACTTTCCCCTCTTTTCACGCCCTCGACCATTCCTCTGGCAACCATGGCGCCAAGCAAATTTCACTGCACCAGGCTGGTTGCAGCTGCGACCCATCACCCACAGGCTGACGGACCATATGGCGATCCTTCTGGGCTTCGCATTCCCTTGTGCTTGCTTTCTTGTTTAACAAGAAAGCACAAGGGAATGCAAAGCCCAATACAAAATAGGCGGTTAAAAGCCCACGAATTTCCCATTGTGAATTGAACAGTCCCCAACAGTGCTCTTACATGCAATGCAACAATTCTGCGTCATATAAAATTGACAAAAATGAGTCAGTTCGAATGCTCCAAAGGTTGAAAACAGTGTGGCACAGCGCGGTGAACGACTCCTTCCCGTCTTGCCCAAAGCAACCTTCGCCCCACCGCCCGGTCACCCCTTGCGTGTGGTGCGTGCCCCTATCCCTGCACCAAAGCATCTCTCCACACCATCCAAACCATCTCTCCACAGCGTGGAAAAGAGTCCCACGCACACTTGCACAAAAGGGGTGTCTTCCATGAGATCTGTACCTTCCTGCATCACATCTTCTTGATAATGTTTCCTAATAATCCTGGAATTTCAAATTCCTGAGGAATTTGCTGATAACGTTTTAACAAACGCTTAAAAACGAGAAACAGATCTGATCCGTTTCTCGTTTCTCATGTACAAAATCTTACCCATCAACAGCCCTTCCTCCGCCTCCTCGGGACCTTGTCACCATCCCTGGGAATCTCCAAGGCTGCCCCGATCGCCTCGTTCAGCTCCCTCGCCAGCACCGCCATCCTCTCCCCCCACTCTGCCTCCCTCAGTCTCGGCGGCAGCATCACCCCGCCCTCCTCCGGAGGCGACCCGTGCATTCCTCTGGTCACCACATCCGCAATGTTCCCACACACAACCACAATCCACGTCCAAGCGCCCTGTGCACGGGCCCCAGGTCCGAGCAGCTTCTCTAGCCTGGCACCATAGGGAGCTCGCTGCGACAACTTGTCAGCGATGCTGGCCAGGGTACCCGGGGCATCTGTCAGGGTCTGGTTCTCGTCCCTGTGGCAGTGGTTGGCCACGCAAGTGCCTAAGAGGTACTTCCACGCCACCCCCCCCACTCCAGCAACGTCTGACACAACTGGTGAATCACCAAAAAGTGCCATCACAAGGGCGTGCAGCTCGATCGTGGCGCTCACCATGCACATGACCCGTTCCCAGGTCAGATGGCCTTCTGGTGCGCCGCGCCGGCTGGCCTTCTGCGATGGCAACTTCGCAAATGCCTCCTCAAAGTCCTCCCGTGCCAGGAACATGTGCGACTGCCCCAACAAACCTGATGGCTGTCTCAAATGGGCAGAAATGGGCACGTCTTCTCCCTTTAATGCCCGCACCCAGGTCAATTTCCCAGGCTCAAATCCATCCAAGATGACCAAACCAACATGCACAACCAGGCCAAGGTGCAGCACCCTGGCCAGCGCCCCCCGCTCCCTGATGGACCACCCCAGGCCGGTCAAGTTCTCGTAGAACCATGCCGCCCTTGTCAGGTCATCCTCGGCGAAGTTGGCGTCCCGCCGCCGCAGCTCCCTCTCGCTTGCCCTGCTGCGCCGCTCCAGGCGCCTGTAGGATGCCACCAGCCGCAGCTCGTGCCTCAAGACGTCCATCGCCCAGCTGTAGCGCTCCTTGCTGTACAGGATCCTCCTGCTGCTGCGGCCACAGTGCACCCCATCACTGTTGCCATTGTTATTGTTGACACCGATATCGCTGTCATTGTCCATGGTAAAGTGCCTCAGTGGGCAGGCAGGGAGGGGTGCGGCATTAAGGCGTCTTTGGGCCACCAGACGTCGAAGCCACAATCGGAAGCATTCCCGCAGGCTGACATCCGTCACACCCTCCCCAGGTCCATCGTTGTCGAAAAATTTGTTGGAGTTGCCTGGGTCCCAGTCAGCAGGGACGGGGTCCTGGCGGGCCTTTAAGGTGAACTGCTTGCGGAAGTCGCAGCCGCCAAAGGTAGGCAGGGAGTTGAGGATCTTGCCCAAGTCGTCCGCAGCGGTGATGACCCACACCTGGTAGCACCTCAGAAAAGAGTCTAATGACTGGTGTGCTCAGCAAAGGGGCGGGCAATTTGTTGGGCCCACTTTTCTCATTGTTGCAAAGAGGAAGGAGATGGGGAAAGTGGAAAGAGATTCACAAAGACCTCTGGTCAGGAGTGTGCACAGCCTCTGCAGGGCAAGTTTCCTCTCTTTGACTGAGCTGTTTGCGATTGGGGGAGCCTGCCAGTTGCATCCGATGATTTGGGAGATGGGGTGTTCCTATGGCAAGCGCTGATAGGTCCTTGTGGACCGCCACCAGACTGACTTTGCCTCACCACCTACGGCTGGTGGGAATGTGCCCCCTGGCCACCTGCTCATTTCAATTTAACCTGTGAGGGTGGATTCATTCATCCTTTTTCGTATTTGAAGAGAAGATAGACAACAGAGAGAATGAAATGAAAGAGAAACAGGAAAGAATGGAAAGAAAGACAGAAAAGAAAAACAGCGGAGCCCACAGTCTGTCAAAAAGAGAATGCCACTGGCTGTGTGCGTTGTCACATGTGCAAATTCTCTTTCCCCTTTTCCACAAATGCACCCCAAGGCCTGGCCGCACCTGCCAGTGGAGAGTCATGGCACAGAATCTCCCACACACACGCTTTGGACACAAATATGATTCAGAACACCAAACTGCACTTCCTTTCATTCCCCAACATCGCCAGCTTGTTGTGCCCTACCAGGTTGTGCCGAGCATACAATCAACAGATTCGGACACTTGTTTGGGAAGGGCCCCTTTGCACCCCATTGTCCCATTTCTTGGCGGTGTGCAAAGGCCCACAGACAGCAACACAGAATCACAGATGTTGGTCACTTGGTCAGGAGTGTGCCCCTTTGCAACCCCTTTTCATGCTTCTTGCCGGCCAGCGACAAGTCTCACCTGCCGGTAGAGGCGCAGGTGCGGCAGCCAGGCGGCCGCCAGCACCACCCCAGCCGCCATCGCCTCCTTGGGGTCGTCCGCCACGTACTGCACCACCAGGTAGACCACCAGCCAGGCGCCCGAGGCGGTGCAGACTGCCAGGGCCGTCGCCGTGGGGCGCCTCAGGTCGCCCACCTTCTTCCACCGCCGGTCGATCTTGTCCAGCGCGCCGTACACCACCCACGGCAGGAAGGCCACCAGGTAGGACAGAACGACGAACCACCGATCATGGGCCATGTCCTCAAGAGGGGAATCCGGTCCATCGGTCATGGACTTCGGAGCCCCCGCCGACCCCGCAGCTGGCCCTTCCGCTGGCTTTCACGTCTGCCCCGCCTCACCGAAATCGTTTGTTTGAAACTGCCCTATCCACTGAATATCGGTCGCGCTGGCCGGTGGCCGCCGGCCCAACGTCTGGCCTCCCGCCGGATTTGATCTCCGTTGAAATCCTTGCTTTGAAACTGCAATCTTTTGGTCAATGCTGCCCCGATTCACGGCGCCGGTGCGCGTCAGGCACTGCTCGCAAGCGTCGTTGCCCGCGAAGGCTTCCCGCGGCAAAAGCGCAGGGGGGTGTTCAGTCCTAAACGAAAAGCAAACAGGCCAGCAGCCGAACGCCCAGGAGTTCCGCGGAGTGAACAGACCGGATCTCCAAATCTGAGCGGCGGGGGCGTCGGAAAAGGAGTCGACCGCGGGTGGAGGTCAAAACCGCAGAGGTTCAAGGCGATGAGGGTTGACTTGGGTGGTCGAGTCAACGCACGCAATCGATAATCGGCGGGTTTTTGACCGCGCGCGCCAGCCCCCGAGAGCTGCCGGGGCGTCGCCGCGGTCGTCCACATCTTTTGTGGCGCGAGAGAAGCTGAGCTGCTGGAGAGCGGGCGTGCAAGTGGTGTGGTGGGGACGGCGAATGGGGGCCAAGCACTGTGGCGGAGGCGTTTGGAGGAACGAGCGCCTGGGCATGTAATGGTGACATCATGGTGATGCGATTAGCTGTCGTGGGTTGTGTGTCATGTCGCTGACCGCATCTGACAGATGCTATTTTACCGTATTTACCCGATATTAGTAGGCGTGTATGGCCCCAAGTTAGCGGTGGATACCAATAGCGGGTCATGGATACTAACGCAGCTTAAGCCCTTGATCCAAGGAGTACACAAAGAGAATTTGTGAAAACAGGTCACAAAATGCCCCGAATTGGGCTTGAAACAATGCAAGATACAGCGCATAGGTAGCAACATCACCAAGTCAAAGGTAAAAATCACGAACACCACGCTCCCATCAGTGACAGTGCTAATAATATAATACCGAAAGTTGTCAGGCTCTTCATGGGAGCCGGCGGCTTGGACTTGGCGCGGCAATAGGTGCGAACAACTGGCGATTTGGACAACCATGGGCTCGCTGGCATGCTCGAGGCGCGGTTTTCCCTGCGATGGGAAGAGCCAGGATGAACATGGGCCTCAACACACCAGGGCGCCGCGCTGTGACATGGGCTTGGCGCCAAGCGTTTCCCCAGGCTGATGCCAGCTAGGATTAATGACGGGATCTTGTGTTTGTGGCCTGGCAGCCAATGCGGTGTGCGAATTGGGGATGGGCCCTGCCATCGTGGCGTTTTGCAGGCAGTTCTGCGAGCTGGGGCCTCGCAGCGGCGGTTGCCCTGACCAGCGCCATCCCCTGGCCATTCTCGGTGTTGTGCCTTGGGGCGCCCTTGGCGGGCACCACTCTAGAACCTAGAACTCTGGCGGGCCGGGGGGCAGGTTGACTTAATCCAGAAATCAGGGCGCTTAGTTCTTAACCGCTTCTTTGTTCGCGCCTCACGGCATCGGTCCCTGCCCAGCAGTCTTGGGCTGAAAGCCCTAAAGGCAGCCAGTCGACCTCACAGCCTTTCGTGGGATCCTTGCAAATTCTCCCTTGATGGCATCCACCCAGAGCCTGGGTTCCAAACCCGATCGTCCCCGTCGATGCGCGAATCGCAGGGAATGCGGTTTGGCCGAGACTGGGCAACGCGGCCCAACACCAGCCGCCAACAACCCATGCCACCATCCGCGCCTTCACTCGTTTCTGTCGAGGTTGGAGTGTGAATGCTAACACCAGGTCATGGGTACTAAGGTGCTTTCGAACGCCAAAGAGTGGGGTGGATGCTAATAGGGGGTGGGTACTAATACCGGGTAAGTTCGGTATTGCCCGCACCTGAAGTCCAGGTGTGATAAGAAACAGTCTGTCCGATGGATCGCATCTCTTCGGCCATTCCTGAGGACAATGTTTGCCTCTGGCGGTCTTCTGTGGTTGAACGAAAGAAGTGCAGGTGTGGGCTGTGGCCACGGCCCCACCGTCGACATGCCATGTCGATGAAGCGCCTTGACCGTGGCGTGCAATACTCGCCTTCCCAGGGAACCCGCAATGTCTCTTGGCTATAAATCATCAGTCGTTTACATCAGTCATCGCTTGCCAACAAATCACCTCGTTCTGTCCCCCGACGCCTCCGCCGGCCTTTGGCGCCACTATCGGCAGCCCTGCCCAAGTCTAGTATCGGCGTACAGTGCTCCCAATCCTTCTGCTACTCCTGCCACATTATTCCCACATTCTTCCCACATTCTTGGTACATATATTACTGGCACATTAACCCTTACTACTCAATGTACTTGCCTCCCATTGCATCGCCACCGGCAAATCCAACTGCGCGTCTAGTCTTCAGAGATTTCAAATAGCACATAAACAATGAAAACAAGCACGACCACCACCGTCGCCACAGCAGAGGACACAGTCAGACAACACCTGGCGCAACGGAAAAGCTCCTTGCGAAGGTCCGCCTCGGAAAAGCGAAGTGAGGGCACGGCAGCGGCTTGGCGTGTTGATCGCTCCGGTCCCACTAATAGGTCCAGTCCGAATACGTAGTTATCTGGCCTGGTTTGACTTCTGGCAGCCAGAAAAATCTCGTCAGTTAAAGAATGCCAAAACTGACACCCTTTCAGGACAACGCGGTCCACCGAAGGACTATTATGGTGTGCTTTATAAGATATGCTAATCACTCTACAACTTTTTTCAATATAATAGAAGACAGTCTTTTACTCTTGCTTAGTAAATTTCAATATTGCCTTTCATTATTTCAGCAAATCGTGGTACGTCCAATAGAGAACCGAAAGCCAACACGGTCTGCAACCCAAACGAGCAACACTTGCAGCTATTGATGGCTGATTCTCAATTGACAATCCAACCTGTGACATGCAGAATCTGCACTCATATTCCAACGGCCTTGAACCGAGTTCTCACCCCGTTTCGCCACCCAAGATCTGCTTCTGCAGCCCCTCCGGCAAGCCATTGGCCTGCTCCCCGCACACCTCGCACTTGAGCGTCTTGCGCATTTTGAACCACCCCTCGGCGCACGCCAGGTGCAGGACGTCGAGTCCCGACGAGCACCTGCATACCGAGAAGGGGCGGCATTTGAATGAAATAACAGGTTCACTGCCGTTTGAAATTGCCATACATATGGACAGACGACAAGTGATTAAACAAATAAGCAAAAAATAAGAAATTAAGTGATTGACAAATATGTGGTTGAATAAATAAATAAGCAAGCAAAATAAAACAGTCAACAAAATTGCAGATCCTTTGTTTCGACCTGGCTTCTGGAGCTGGTCCCATGGCTTTCAACGTCCCATATTAACTTGGAGCCTTCATTGAATGTTTGATACCTGAGTGTGGCTTTTAGTTCAAGCCACGAGGTGCTTGCCACCAGCCAGTCGTGTTTTGAGCATCTTCGTAGTTTATGTCAAATTTGTGGCAATTACATGTCCTCCTGACATCACAGCTCTGAAAACCCCTCACCCTTGACGCTCATTGCACCAAACTCGAGATAGCGCCTTCCCTAATGTCTTTCATGCAGAGGCGAACAAAGCTGGAACATGCCATGTGTCAGTGTCGAAAATGATTGATGCCAATACATCCGCCATTTGCTACGTCGCATCCTGGGGTTGCACCGATGAGCAAATCACCAATGGCGCTGCACCCGCTTCCAGCCAGAGTCCAAACAGGTGTAAGGGGTCTCCCACTCGGCGTGCAATCACCAGCAGAAAACACCATTTTGCCATGCCGACTGCGATGCTGTTTGTCACCAATTAATGCCACCACAGTTCCTTTGATGCATTTGCGAGCTCCATGATGGCGCTACTAAGTCGGGGCAATCAGGATTTGGAGTTCTGCTGGATCATCCGACGGATCATAGTGCTGATTGAATTTGCCACGGGAGCCGAGATGCACGAACGGACTTTCCCATCTTGACAATGCCCATGCAGCGACATCTGGAAATTCTTCAGGGTTTGTTGCAACAAGCAACAATTTTGTTGTTAGCTCTGAGGGTCGCACGTCAGCCTTGCAGTGTGCCATGGTCAGCACCACGCAAAGCAACGTTGTATCCATAACTGCGTACCTTGTAGTATTCAACCCTTCCGCATTTCAACACGTCAACATTACGCTTTTCTCCGCTTTTCTTCCAGAGCGTTGCTCGTTATTTTTCCGCTCCCCATCGTGTCCCGCACGCTGTGGGTGGGTTACAGAAGCTGCATGCCAAACTTCAAGTGCAAGTGACCAGTCCCTATGCTATGTTGCTCTGTAAACACAGGCCAAGCGTTACGTTGCTATGCATGAGGGTTTAATAAAATACAGTAGTCGCACCAACGTTCGCGCAACCTCCTGATAGCCACAAGGAAGCGTGGCCGTTCGTAATGCCACATTCAACCCCGGTCAAGTTGGTGCGCACGCATTGTTCATCGCTCCGTGAGACCGGCCCCCAGGTTGGCCGTCAACGCCCCATCCAGAAACCCCGTTTGCTCCCGAGTGCCGAACTTCTCTGCTTTCTTTCTTGAGACCGAGCATTCTTTCGGTTGGAACAATTGGGGGGTTCACTGCGCTTTGCGCTGTCTTTTTAGGTGGCACAAGGCCCACGCACCTTCTGATAGGACGGCACCCGGACACTGAAATGTGATGCAGTATTTTGGAACCCCCCTCCCAAGGCAATAAAACGTCTTCCCGGATGACAAACTGTTGGGCGGGGTGGTACTTAAGGCTTTGCACATCCCGTGAAGCAATGCCGGATGACAGACCCCACCAACCGCCCAACCTCCACGGCAGCAAGCGTTGGGTCCAATCCGCGGCAACTCGCAGCGAATCTCCGGGAACGTCCCGCCAACCACCGCGAGGGGCTTCCGCCAAGCGCGCTCAGAGCCTCAGAGGCCCCGCCTTAAAGACAGGCACGAATTTCGCCGGACGGCGCATTTCTCGACGGCGGACGATTGGACCCACGCTCCGCGACAATCTGGGTCAAAGGCAGTGTGCCAAGGCCCCGCTGAGGCTCCTCGACGGCAGAATTGCCGGCGGCCGAGCCGCCGACCGTTTGACCAAATGACAATCGCGCGAACATGCGTTGACCATGGACCGATTGTTCCCACGCCGATCGCCGACCAACCCTGACTTTCCGGAAAGCCGTTTCCGCCCGCCGGCAGGATGCAGCGCTTCGCAACGGGCCCCTCCCACGTCGCGAGATTGCGCTCACTGCCCCCCGCTCCATTTGGCGGCATTCGTTCATTCATTCAAAACAAGGGATTTCCAGCCCACCTGCACCCCAGATGCACCGCCGTGCCGTCCATGAAGTCGAGGTCGGTCACAGGGTCCATGCACACGCGGCAGGCGCACGCGCGATCCCCGGCGCCCTCGCCCATCCCATTACCGGTGCCCCTTCTCGCCGCCTCCCCTTCCTTCTCTGTAACGGGGTCAATCTCTTGACCGGTCAGCCCATCCGACCCGGCGTGCATCCGCGGGTGATCCGAGTCAGTGGGCCCGGGCTGGAAAGTCTCGGAGTCCGGGGCGCTGGCCAGAATCTCGGACGGGCGACTGTTGGGTCTTGGCGCGATCGGCTCCATCACATCGGTTGCCGGAGACAGCTGGAGAAAAATAATCTGCAAAATTTTGCCCAGGGGTTGGGGGGTGGTGCCCTTCCCTGTGAGGGTCTTGTACACCCCCGCTCAAGATCATGAGCGGCCAGGAGGAGGGGGGAGCTTCTGGGCAGCCAGGGAGGGAGGCAACGTGAGGTGCGTCGGGAGAGTTCGGCCCGTTGGGTAGTCTTCAGGAGCGGAGGCACGCTGGGGGCCAGGGGAACGGGCCACCCCGTAACTGCCGTCAAAGCGGTGGCCGCATCTCAACGCCGCTCCACGTAATTCGGGGCTCCAGGGGGGGGGGAGAGCAATGGGGTTTGCTGATCCCAGGTCAGTGACATTGGATGCGCACAACGCATCCAAGTTGGCTGCACCCAGGAAATATGCACGAGACACCCCTCCTAATTTGGCAGCTTTTTCAGAAGGGCGGTGCGTGAGTACTGGCGCTGAACGGAAAGTGCATAGAATGATGCTTATGAGGTGGGCGTCGGACGCACACCTAAATGATATTAAATGAGATGGCTCCCCTTTGCAAATAGAATGGCGGGGATGACTGTGTGCCTGGTGGCACCAGGCTGGTGCTCTGCTGGCAATACTGGCCATTTGCGCCCAAATGTACGTGAACAGCGCGTTGTGAGTTTGGTGCATACGGGTGCAGTTTCAATCGAACACATGACGGCGGCATGGCGCCATTCGGTGCTGCAACACAAGCTCAACGATCGGGCTAGCGGCCGATCGAAAAGTCCAATGAATCTCCCATTTCCGGCAAGATCTGTTCAACATCTGTTCCGTATTCCTAAGGAACACGCATTCAACATTGACAGGATTAATGTATGTAGCCAGGGTCAGCAATATTCAATATCAACAATATTGAAATGTGCGTTTCAATGCAAGGGTGTCATCCCCATGTGGGAAAAAAAAGGATACCAGGGCATCCCTGGAGCCCAGCCGAGATAAATAAAAAAAGTTCATCGTTCGGTTCTCAATGTTTGGGAACAAATTCATGCCAACCGTCCTAATAGTGCCTGCCATGCATCCGCAGGATACATTCAAAGCGTCGCCCACACCAATCTAGCCCCACCTTCCAAGGCCCCCCGACTGCACAATTTCTTCCCGAATCCAAAGATGCAAGAATCTGCATGTCATCTACTTGTTGACCCCGTCAATGGAGAGCCACCCTAAAATTCAGATTCACATGAATCGCGGGCTTCTGTGCATGGGACCCTTTTGCCGACATCGAATCCGCACCGCTTGATCCATGAGATCGACTCTCGATCGCCGAGACAGATGCACATCGATCCGACAATTCTCCCGCGACCGCTCAAGCCAGTCCCATGCGCACGGGATTCGCCCACATGCCATGACGTCACTTGAACCCAAAAAACGCCACACGGCGTCATGTGACGTCACACAATGCCACACGACGCCATACGATGCGCACGATTCCCTGTGGCAAAACGCGTACCGCTGTCAATCAAACTTCGCGCTTCGTTCCCGATCACGTGGCGCACGCAATTCCCAACCCGTTGACCTTCGTTGACCATCCGCTGACCACATGTCGACTTCCGTTGACTTCATAAATCTCCGTTGGCTTCCGTTGGCCGTGGTTGACTGTAGCCCTGGAGCGACGTGGGCGCGAACGTCCATCCGCGCTGGGCCCACCGGCGCCTTAAGGCCCAGGCAGCCTCCACCGCGGCGACACTCGCAGCGCTCAGCACGCCCCCCACGAAGGCGGAAAAGACGGCCGCCTTGGCGGGCTCCCACCTGGCATGAAGTGGGCAAACAGTGAAGGGCGTAAAATGTTCTTCTAAAGCGGCAATCAGCGCTTGCAACAATGGCGACAGAAGTTCGATCATGATCCCAAAAGAATCTACAAGCAGCGATTTGCTGCTTGTACATAATTCAATTGCAAAATGAGCTCGCGTCTAAACTGGACAGTTTTGGAAAGCTGCGCGTTGAAGATGAATCGGCTTTCGAAAGCAAGTTGATAGCGGCTGGCACGTCTGTATCCGTTTTGGCGTATGATGCGCTGCACATTCTACACCACGTACAAAATGCATATTGGAGACCAATGCACAAAAAAATAGAAACAGAACAACGCGGTTTCTTCACTCTGGACATGATGTCGAAAGACAATATCAAACACAGGAACACACTGTCAGGACGTGGCTGCGATCAATCTGCGCATTCTACTTTTGCATTAACAATGTGATCAGCTCCGAATTGAAATACTCTGTATCCATGCAATTTAAGCAGAAGCAACAGCACAACGCCAGGAGGGCAAGTCGAGAACGCTGGGCTTTGTGGCTCGCCGTTCCACCTCCATCACCTCAATCCATGCCAACGCATCGTATACATGGTCATATATGGTGACAACAAACGAAACAACCAAAAAAATACATAAGCAAAAATTCGCAAAAGGCAACAGACACGCACTGCAAGGAGTAAACTACGCGACTGTCTGAATGAATAGTAGGACGTGATAAAGCGCACCAACAACAATAACAGTCGACGAAGAAGCCATCGACTGAACAAAGTGAACCAGCGCGGGGCGACAGACAACTCACCCTTGAATCTTGACCAACAATGCCGCAATGCCCATCACGGACGCCAGGAACCATAGCGTTATGGCGAGGTGCGTCAACGGATCAGCGTGTCTGGTCCAAAAAGTACAGACGCAGTGAGGCATCCGAAACGACACTGCACAGCTTTGCTCGTTACGGTGAGTTTCAACTAAAGCAGCAACGTATGCCATGATCCTGAGCGTCACGCGAAATGCACAACAGGGGGAACGGATCTGGCCAAAAAAGCGAAAAACGTTACGCTCTTGCGGCTCTGCGATGTTTTGGCAGTGAGCATGGTGACAGCAGGCTTGCCATGTACGGAAACTTTGCGATTAGGTTTCAAACATGGGGGCAAAAAAGAGCCCACCGAGGCTATTATGCGCATATTTCTTTATTGCCTTATGCTTATTTATTTGTTCGAACATTTGATCATTTATTTATTCGAATTCACGATGTACTTTCATACTGCCATCTGCTTGTGTATGCGCGCACGGCCACAGGCCACGAATTCGCCTATTGCTTTCACCCATCGTTAGTCACTCTGTTCCGCATACATGGCGCCTACGAAGATTGGAAAAATAACCAAAATGTGTCCAGAGGAAAGCACGCGAAAGCGGGGTTAGTACATAGCACTTACTACTTGGTACTCAGTACTTAGTATTTAGTACACAGCACTGCTTTGGTCCTGTGCAACGCCTGCTGTAGCAAAACGGGCACGACAAAGTACCAAGCCTCGGATTCCGTACCCACTTGCGGGAATATATGTACATCATAAAACGAGGTGCGAGTGAGAAACGAATGGGAGGGAGACAGGGGGCGGATGACTAGGAAATTCATCAATAGTTGTTGTGAAATATTAGTTGTTGAGCTTTTCATTTCTTGGGGTCATTGGCACTGCATAAAAAGGACAATAGCACAATTCCGAAAATAAAAAATAGATGTGTGCGTCGAACATCCCCAACAACACACCTGTTTGCCACGTTTGTTTAGGGATGGTGCCGTATGATCCCTATAAAATCGAAAAATCCTTACCTGCCAGCAAAATAGGGCAACGTGGTAGAGTAGCCGACAATCAGGGAGATGAAGGCGGAAGCCACACGGTCCAACTTCAAGTACACTGCAAAGCAGAATCAAAAACAATTGTGAGATGCCTTGCAACGCTGGGTCATTCTCGTCCAGATGATGCCCCAATATTGGAAAACTTTCCCTATCTTTTACAGCGCGATTACGTTCAGCTTAACTATTTTCATCTCATTACTCCAATTTAATTCGCTTCAGTACATCTGCTCATAGATACGTGCATTTAGCACTTGGTGGTACTGCCTCGCACAAAGGGTTCAAGAAGGGCGCCGATGTAGTGCGGCAGAACATGAGTACAGATAAGTGCACCAAAAGCAGCCTTTTGTACACTCTTATGTGTGAACGCAGGCGTTGGTGGCCGGTGCACAACCAAGGATCCTCATCACGACCCATGCGATGGAAAACGGCTCCAACGGGTAAAACGTTGGAAATTCCGCAAATCTCGATGTAACTTTCGCCACCTCATGACCTCATGACCTAATGTCCCAGCTTAACGCCGCTCGCGTCGCCGACACTCGAATTGCAGCAATTCAGCAAGCTTCGAATGCGAATACACTGATCGCGTGAGATGGCCAACTTTCCGCCAGTAACCATCACCAGCATTCAAACCGTTGCCAGATGTCGACCATCAGGGTTTCAAATCAAATCAAATCAAAATTAAATCAAATTCCCAAATCAAATCAAATCAAATTTAACAAAACCAGACCAAACCAAACCAAGTCAAATCAAGTCAAATTCCCCGCAGCGACAAGCAGCGACAAGCAGCGACCTTTCGGGCAACGCCACCACGCAAGCCCAAACTGCAGACCACTGACGCACTGCACAAAGTATTGAGTTCCACTCAGCGCCGTTTTGAGCATTTGTTCAAGCTGCGCAATGCACCGATTTCCAATCTTCCGAACAAAGTACTGAGTTTGAAACCACCGGTGCAAAGCACGCTAAGCACTGCAAACTGCCCAGTCTTCCAACCAACAGCACAAAGTACTGACTTTCAAAGTGCTCAGTTCCATCTCCTGCTGTTGCTTAAACAGGAGAAACTGCTGCGTTCCAATCTCCCCAAAGCCTGTCCAGCGCGCACCCACCTGAGTAGAAGAAAAACAAGCCGAAGGCCAGGATGCCCGCCATCATCATGTGCGCGTGCACTCCATCTCGTGGCCGCCCCGACATGGACGACTGGCTGCGCGGCAGGAGGTGCTCAACCGACGTCCGCGCTGCCAGCTGCCTATCAGATGCGAACAAACGCGCGGTTGGCACAAAACGCTAATGTACATGATACGTATCTGATTATGCAATGTCTACAGCAGCAGTATATGTCACAATTGTAGTGTGACACAATAATGTAATAGCAATGCATTGTAGTATGACATAAATATGTAGTATGCATTGTAGCATGATACACCAATGTATGATATAATCAATAGTCGCTCACTGAATTCCATTGTTTGAGATCGCCCTTGAAAAACAGGGAAGAGGGTACTAAGCATGCAAACCTGCTGCTGGAAGGTGGTATAGGACTTAGTGGTTTAGTGCTTAACAGAATTCGCTTGCGCCACTTTTCCCTGAAAGAGTGGCCCAGCCGCTGTGTTGCAGATGCAGGCACAACGTTGCAACTGACGTGCATCAGGGCGGCACGAGGCAAAGTGGAGGGAAACGATAACAACTAGCTTTTGGAGGTACGCTTAAAGACAGTGAGAAATGTTGCAGCATTCAATTGAATGAATGCTGGATCACTGATGAAATGTTCCGTTTTGGACAACAGTTGGAAAAGCAAAACGTTGAAAAAATTAAGAAACAAAGGGCACCACTGTGCCGCACAAGGATGGACAGATGAACCCCATGTGGTGGCATGCGTCTGTGCAGATTGGAGGGATTAATGTTTCAGACGTAAAATGCAGTGCTGTTACGTCAGACAAAATGATGGGGCACCCTTCGTAAACAGATGTAAAGAAAGGAAAGTGGAGGAATGGATGCTTCTGCAACATTTCGCACACAGTGTTGTTCTGCACGTTGAGCCTGGCCGAAGTCCCACAGACTATGCACAGAACAATCCATTATTGTGCAACAACTCTGGTCAGCGCTGCGCGACCAGTAATGACACAAACCATGTCAGCAATGGAAAGAATCATTCTCAACAACATCACGCTCTCCACCTGTCATACATTTGTTCCCAAATTAACATCGCTCCAATGCCAATGGGCCCCAAGGCCCCTCACCTCATCCTTATCTCCGAGACCTTCCGGAACTCCGCTTTCAGCTCCTCTGACAGATTCTTGGCCTCTGCACCACACACCTCGCACAGCGAGCTACCCCTTATGCGGAACCAGCGCTCGGCGCATTCTGTGTGGAGCACATCCAAGCCAGCCATGCACCTGTGCAGGGCACCATTCTTCAGGGAAGAAAGAAGCAGCACAACCAGGTACCACAGAATACAACGCCGTATACCATATGCGGCACAAAACACAGGAAACAGCCTGAGATGCACGACCTTGCACTTGCAGCCTGACACCCGATGGAGTTGCAACAGGGCCCTGGGTCACGGATGCTGGAGCCATTGCCGGTCCTCACCCACAAAGTTTCCTCGCTGGGGACGGGTGTGCCCATCGCTTGTCCCCTTTCGGTCAGCACGCAATCCTACCCCTCAAATTGACCCCCACCATTGGTTTGAAACCCCGCTGAACCCCAATTGACACCCAACATTTGGTTGACCCCATGTTGAACCCCCCACCCCCACTTCCCCCCCTTTTCCCTCTCGCTAAACCCCCTAATGCTGCGTTCCCGTTTTGACCCACCATTGTCCGGGTGTTGCTTGCGCCCTCCATTGGCCCACAGTTGGTTGACCCTGCGTTGACACCACCTGTGAACCCCCACGTGAACCCGCCTTTGTTTGACCCAATGCTTGCCAGACCCGCCACTTTTCTTACTCGCCCGGGCTCGCTTGCACCCCTGCTGGATCCGGTCGGTTTTAGGGCCACCGCTTGCTCGACCATATGGCAGGGTGACAGCCATGATTTCTTTTCCTTCCCTCCCCCACTAACCAGGCGGCCCTGGACGTGGCCATGGCACATTCTGGTGGGACATGTGGATATGGCACGGCCGGTGACACGCGCGTTTTTGTCGTAACACCATACGTAGGCAAGCTTCTCTTTCCCCCGACAACCCGCGCAACCTCGTTGACCCCCCGTTGGAATGCGCCCCGCATTTTATTGTGGGCCCAACTTTTGCACACACACACACCCCTCCCTCGCCCACCTGCAGCCCAGCCTCAGCGCCATCCCGCTCGCCAGCTCATCGTCCCCCACGGGCTCCATGCACACGCGGCAGGCCGCCTCATCCTCCCGGCTGCCAAACACACTCTTGGAGCCAAAAATCCCCGCGCCCCGCCGCGAAGAATTGCGCCGCTTCAGCCCACCCTCCCTCCCCGACCCGGACACCGACCCAGACGCTCCCCCGGACGCCGATCCGTCCGCGGAGGCCGACGATTCCATCACCCGCGCCGCCAGCATGGCCAGCAGGTCGTCGGGCAGGTCCGATGCCCCTCGAAACGACTGGCCGCCGGCGGGCCCGAACGATTGCTGCCGCCGGCCGGAAAACGCGTCCAGCGACACGGTGCGGCGCAGGATCCTCGCCGCCATCTCCGCCATGCCGATCCGCTCGCAGTCGACAGGTCCACCCCCGGCTTCCCCTTGGCTGTCTCTCTGGGCTCCAAAAACGGATGTCAAATGCCGCGGAGGGATGGCACCGGGGGCCCAGCAGCAGATCGCTGGCCCACCGATTGGGAACGCCGCTTGGGATCCGAGATCAATCCCGTGGCCCTGGGCAAAGCTTTGGCGGGGTCCGTGGGGCAGGTGCCCGTCACACGGTTCGAAAAGAAGGGGAAGAGGGAAGACGAATGCCCCACGGGGAAAGGCACGTTGAGCAGACCAAGCCTGATTGGCCCGATGGCCGCCTCGGCGCGCACGGAGGCCGGCTGAGGGGGTTTCGAAAGTTTGTGGCGCCGCGCGGCGGGTGGGCAGCTGGCCGGCGGCAGGAGGGATTGCTGGGGGCGAGCCGCGGGCTCTGTTGGTTATCTGAGGCCGTGCGCCGGAACAAGATGGGAGGGCCCAACGTGTGGGGTCACACGCTGTTTGGTCCACGTGGAGGCTGGGTGAAGAGGGGGATGCTTTTGAGGCCGCACCAAATTTGGGGCGGGCACGTGATGGGCGGCATTTCGCGGTGAGGATCGATTAGCTGTCGTGACAAGGGATTGACGTGGGTTTGAGAAGAGTGGCTGATGGCATGGGATGGGCCGAGCACACAGTCGCAGCGAAATTACTGGAATCTGCGATTGATGTGGGTGATGGCAAGGGATGGGCCCAGCGGGCAGTCACAGTGAAATCACTGAAATGTGCACGAGCTTGCATGACGCGACATTGGCTTCGTTGGACCTCCCTGATTTGCTCACTGGATCCTTTTCCGATCACACTCTTGTGGTTTGGGACAATACGTCATGCTGTCCCAGAGAGACGTGAGTGTGACTCATTGAGTTTCTGTGGAAGGTCGCTGTGCAGTTCAGGAAAGTATGTCTTGGCCAGGCTGTCCTGCTGACAAGGGACCTTGTGCGGAAGCTGTGGTGGATGTGTTCTTCTCGCAGCTTCGCAGTGCTTTGACCATTCATTTTATTCGCTTGGGCTTGCCAGGGATTGCCGAATCTTGCCTTTAACAATGTAGACGATTTCAGCAGTCAGGATTGCAGTGTTGATCAAACACCGCTCATGAGTGGTGGATTGGAGTCAAGCGACCGGACATCTCTGCATCCTTTCCCTCATTATTCTGTTTTTGGTGGTGGAGTGTTCGAGTTCTAGCAGCCCGTACATTGTACTGATTTCTGAGTGAAAGGACGTCAGTGAGATGTTTCGCGCGTGGCTATGCGCTGGGCTGGCATGCGACTGCACTGCTGTCTGACCGGTGGTGAATGACGGGGATCCCAGGTTGCAAATAGGCACACGGGGTGGCTGCGAGAAGGAAGAAAATTTGTGGCTTTTTGCGCCGCGGTTGGCAAGGAAGGTTGTGTCCAGACTTGGTAAACGCATGCGCAAGCACGACCTATGCATCAGAGCAGCTTTGTGGGGCTAGACCTGAGCGCCGTTGGACCGGAGGCGAGTGTGGCGCCAGACCTTCCTGCAAGCATCTAAAGCTCTCAACCGCGAAAACTTAACACTGGTGTTGAGTTTGGCCGTTTGAGCGGTGACTCAGACCACGTCAGCCTACTACTAGGGTGGACGTAGCATACTAGGAATGGTCTGCACTCTGCTAGAACGGCACTTTCGCGTTAGAATGCATGGTGACCAACTGAGTGCTCACAACAGATGGCAGGCTTGCAAAACCGCGTTGCGGCACAGGCTCAAATTTGGACCATGGTATTGCAGCCAGGGGGTTTGATGCCGTGGAAAAGTGGCCCTCTAGTTGGGCGGGTCACACCGGAACGCTTAGTGTCCGCCTGAGTCATATTTAAATACGGATGTGCACAATGAATATGCCGTGGGATTAATGTGAGTGTGAAATATGCATGCGGAGTCTGAATATGCCATGGAAAATATTCCATGGCAATTTTTTTGACAAAGCGCACATGTTTTTTTGAATTCCAATGTATTACATGTTTATCTAATAAGCAAGGAGCTCCCCTGCAAAGCGTAAAGCAGAATGGGATGCTTTTCCAGCAGACGCCGATGCAGGGTCCCAAACAAGGATAAAGCGCACCTTGTATCTTGATATCTGGACAGTCAGGCTGCGGCATTGATGGACCTTGATGGAGCCAGGCCATTGATGCCACATTGGTGGCTGCGGCCATGGCCAACGTTGCACCAGCGCTGGCGCATCAACGTCGGTAAGCCTTCAAGGTTTCAATGCCGGCATGGCCTTAAGAATGCATTGGCATTTCTTGCAAGAAAGATCCCTCAATTGAGGAGCACACATCACTTTAAATATTAAAGTGATTAATGGCATTAATGGCAATGCTCCATGAGTGTTTTAGAAAGACCTTCCAGACTCCGTATCTACGATGCAGTCGAGACCAAGCTGGTAGTGTTGGAGGAATATGTGCGCCGCGGAAGTTGACATGAAAGAAGATGAGCGCACTCGGCCAGCCTGCCGCTGGGCCGAGCGGCAGCCGAGCCACAGCTGGACCAGGCTCGCGTCACCACCGGGCGAGAGGAAGCTGCACAGGCGACCGCGCGACGCAATTGCAAAATTGGGACAGCCCGCAGGCGCGCCGGCTCCAAGGCGGCTTGTGCTGCTCAGTTTGGCGGGAACGTGATTGAGCAACGAAGCCCAAAGAGCAGCAATACAACAGCGCTGCGACAAATTTCCTGAGAAACGCCGCCTGGATTTTGTCGTATTGGTGATGCTGGATGATGAGGATTCAATGTGCGCACAGAGGAGAAAAGACCTAACCTCCGGCGACGTCGCTGGGGGTGCGGCGTAACCCCCAGCGACATCGCCGAAAAGGGCTGGACAGATGGCTGGGCGTCGCAATCGGCGCGGGATTTGCCGCAAGGGGGGATGGGGGGGTTGCCGGGGAAATCCGGCGAGTCGAATGAGATTGGGACTCTAGAAGCGCTGAACGGTGGGTCGCGCTGAATGCACATGGGCAATTGCGATTCCGAGGTCCTGAACTAGTTCCGAAGTACTTCGGACGGGCGACTGACACGTCGCTCTATGTGAACGATGCCGGGCAACTTTTTCCAGTTTTGGAAGCGTAGTGATCTGGGCAAAAGTTTTGGTTTGGTGTTTTGACAAACACATTTCTTTTTGGCGTTTTGGAGTAGAAAACGTGTTTGTTGGCTGTTGGTCGTACATCTGTTGGTCATACAGAGAAATGCGAGCAAAACGGACCGGCGGTCAGCTGCTGCTGCAGGCCGACCGTTTGTCGCATTCGTGCTCGCTTTAGAAACGGGCCCTGTGGCGGTCGAAAGTGCCCGTGACGGCCTTGTGGGCTCCTGTCCCCCCATTTCCCATTGGGACCTTTCGCCCAACCACGCCAAAATAAGATGCCGAATTAGGACAATAATTAGTCCACAAAATGTACTATTAAATGCGGTCAAACTGCAGTGCCAATAAAAGTATACAGAATACTAAATACCAAATACTAAATTAGCGCTCGATTAGCATTAGCGAATGTACAAAGGGTCTGTTAAACAAATTCGGTTTCTGGGGGAACGCGCACGTGCGTCCAGCCGAAGCCGCACTGGTTACTGCAGCAGTCGCTTGCGCAGAAAGGACCCCAAAGTTGTGCCGTCGATCTCCTGCAACACAGTTTGGGGAAGCGAGCACGAGGCTCTGTACATTGCAGCACTTGCTTGCACCAATCGTCTACTGAAAGGCACTTCAAATGCAGTGCATTGGAGTGAGTTGCCTCAATTATTTTGAAAATGGACAAAAGAAATGAAAACGCGCATCCCACAGACCCCTCGACGGCAGCGCCGCTAAAGGCGCTACGGATTCTGTTCGGTGGAGTTCTGTTCCGCTCGCGGCCACGCACCGGCAGAAAATTCAGCGTGCCACATTGGGCACGACCAACAGACATCTGCTCGAATTCGCGCCACGAGCACGGCTACTTCCAGGATCACCCCCGTGGGCCTCGTTGATCCCATAGACCCTTCCAATCAAGTCAATCCCATCGATACCATAGACATCGCAGATGCCGTAGATCCTTTAGATGCTGTAGATCCCTTAGTTCCCTTAGATCCCGTTGATCCACGATTCCCGTCCATCCCGTCGACCAGCGGCCCGCATCCCTCCACGGCGACAGCTTATTCTGCCCAGCGCCCACATTTTTTTGCCGCTTCAAGCAGTCACACTTTTGTTGCTCGCATTCTGGCCCGTCACTCCAGTGAGCACGGGTCAGTTGACGGCGAGCCATACACCAATCGGCCAACCAGCAGCGGCAGTCTAAGTTTAGAAGTTCAGCCCTTTATGTCCGCTCAGTTGGATGAATTCTTGGTCCTATATCCCCTCGCTCCCTTGGTGCAACTTGGTTCCTTTTGTCATTTCAATCCTGCCTGGCCCCCCGCGCCATCCTGCCAAGGCCCAGGGAAATTCCCTGCTCTTCAGGATCGGGACCCATTTAGGACCTAAACGTTCCCAGTTAAGTCAGTCACGACACCCAACGCGCCCTTCGGGCTTAGGGGACATGCTCACGCAGCTTCGCGATTGCGTCACGCGGTCGTCTGGGAAGTTTCCTCACGGCCGGGGATGACGCGAGCCTGGTCCATGTGTGGCTCAGCTTCAGCGTGGCACAGCGACAGGCTGGCAGAGCGCGCTAACGTATAGACGCCCGCGCTAAGGGAGCCGCCCGTGAGGGCACCCAGTGCGCAAGATGTGGATGGCTTCCACCTGAGGCAACGGGCAAGTCAACGGGGAGTCAACAGCGGGTCAACGCTGCCGAGTACCAGCAGAAAATGCCATTCTTGCGATGGCAATCGCCGCAGGAATTGAATGAATGCACAAATCCATCAGCTAATTAGAGCATCCAACGACAGAAAGAGAAATAAAAAAGCATAAAAGGACAAGGGAAACAGGACAGGCCAAGTTGGCCGCAGCAGCGCCAACACCAGGCAATTCGATAAAACTTGGTGCCACGGCTTCGAAAACCTGCCATTGATGCAAGCGCCGCCGCCAACATTCAGTGTTGCAAAATTTTCTCAAAAGTTGTGCGAACTTTCCAAAAATTGTCGCAAAATTTGCAAAATTTTGGCAACACCCATGTGAAGCTGCGCAGACATTCGGCAACCTCAAAGCGCGGCGTGTTGCATTGCGTGCTGCGCGTAGCAGCGGGCGCTCGTTAGCTCGGCGGCCATCGGACTCACCCCTCTATCTTGCCTAGGATGACGGTGATGCCCGCGATGGACATGAAGAAGCTGAAGACAAACAGCAGGTGCAGCGCGGGCCTGCGCCAAACGGCGGAACCGCCTTTCAGGGCCGTCGTCAGAGTCGTCAGGCGTGGATCACGGGAAACGCGAGGGTCACGTGTGCTCACGCATAATTAGCAAACCGTAATGTTGCTCATGCCGTAAGTAGCAAACCATGATTTTCCTCATGTGCGATTAATAAACCATGATGTTGCTCATGCCGTAACCAGCAAACCATCATTTTGATCGGGTATAATTAGTAAACATTGGGCAAAAGAATGTTGTACATTGACTGCGCATGTGTGAAAGTGTGCACAGGGCAGTTAATGCACAATGCCGGCATCCATTTGTTCGCATAATGCTTAATGATAAGAAGTGAGCAACATGAGCACGCTCCAGGCTGCTCCGCGGCTGTTTTGGTGCAAGCGGCAGAAGGCTCAGTACTTTCCTGTACTATTTCGCCGTGCTTCATAGTCCTTCCTCAAATGCTTTCTTACTTCTTCATAGCACTTGCTGGCGTTTCTTTCTACCATTTATTTTTTTCTTTCCTTTTCTGATTTAGTTGGCATTTTCCTTTTTGTATTGAATGCACGCTTCCACACCTGTTTGGATGCGCCACCCAGTGCACCGTTGACGCGCACGACACAACGATGGACGCCACGATCGCCCATGCGAAGCTCATCTCCATGCAAACTGCCCCGCAAACAAAATCGAACGTTAGTAATATTTTAGATAATCGTGGAAATGCTCCATGTTTGCACCATTTAACAGGATTGTGCGACTTTCGACTTGGCTAATGAATGTCGCGGCCAGTGCTCTGCGGTGGCGGTGCAGACGTGGCAACGCACGGAACTCCAGCGGCGTGTGGCCGTGCCTCAGAGCATCGGAAATACAGTGCTGTACAGCGGAGCTACGAGGGCAGAAAAATGAATGGTGGTTCAATTATGTATTGCTGAGATGTGCAAATTGAACATCTAGACATAGGCAAATCGTTTATGCATTGAAACATGCGACAGATATTTGTGAGCGACGGCGCACGCAAGCGAACGTGCAGCTTTGAAGCGTTCGCAAGGGAATTGTGTCTGCATATGTATAGTTAGGTCTTAAAGTTTCTTAAATATGTTAAACAGAAGATATCTCAAATGTCCTAAAACGTCTTGAAATTTGACAGACGTCAGTCGGCTGTGTATGTACTGGAACACGTGTCAACTGTTTGAGTATGAAAGCACGAATATGTGGTTCTGCATAACACCGAACGTGCAGGTATGCAGCTTTTGCAGAGGCTATGTACCTGAGTACAGTAAAGCAGTAATGTACTCTGTTCCGCGGCATAACACAACGTCAAAGTACTGGCCCTGGGCGTTGCAGTGCGTTGCGTTTGGCAAGAGCGGTGCACAACACGCCACGCTATGTGGCTCTGCACTGCCAGACAGGGTAGTATATTGGGGCAGGCAAACCTAGCACATTTTTGCGGTGTACAATACTTGGTATTGTGCAGCAAAGTATTGGCTTCGAACAGTGCAATCGCATATGTTGATACATCACGTGCACTCTACCATCAACAAGAAAATGCATTCATTTAGCTGAGCATTCCATTAACAGAAATGTATTATTAATATTTCTGAGCAGTGAAATGAACTGATGCTTATGCAAATAACATGATGAAGCGTTGCAACAATGAATTTATAATGTATCAAACAACAAATGAACGGATTGAAAGAAAGACCAAGCTCATGGAAATCTTGCCCATCCCGTCAAACGCACAAAGAAGAAGATTTTGCTATACTTATGTTGTTGCGAAAAATACGTGAGCCTTCATTGCTATTACTGCAACACATGACCCATGAGTCAAATTCGTCAAAATTGAAATGAATAAGAATGCGTATAATGAAGAATTAAAGGATTTCTGATTCTGGAACTCACCGTCGTAGAACATGGCCATGAGCACTGTAAGTGCTGCCACGAGGGACAGGCACCAGCCGTTGTTAAGACGCAAGTGACACGCCGATCCTTCTTCAGAAGGCAGAAGCTGCCGCGAAGCTCCACCGACGTCATGCATCTCTGCCAACGCCATCCTGCCGCGCCTGCAGCGAAGCGCGGCCTTGGGTCATTGCGGGCCGTGGCATTTAACCATTGCAATGAACAAATTACCATCAAATGATTACTTATTATTATCAAATTATGATCAATTTATTATAATGGTTGTTGTTGAAATCCGGTTTGATTACATTAACCGAGCTCCGCGGCATCTGAGGCCATGTGGAGCCAGTTTATAATGGTTGTGCAATAGGATGATGGACTGAAGTATTGCGCTTGTACTGCAATACATTTAAATCATCAGATACGTGCTGCAGCACATGTGCGCAGTACATTCGCAGCAGCATGGCTCCAGGGAAGATGCTTGGAACGTGCTGAACCGGGTTCGGATGTCCTCTTCTGACTTGAGGTGTAGTCGAAGCTGTGCTAGCCTAGAATGTCAATAAATGTCCTAGTGTATTTCCTCATTCCATCCCAAAAACCATTAGACACGAGCTCAATTTTGAAGGAAGGTGATTTTCTATGAGTAATGTATTAGCAGTGCAACTTATGTTGCCAATGCACATTGGCACACGATGGCATTGCGTGCATTGCTCACTGCAGCCGATGAAACTGCCACCCAAAAACAACAACATCGTGCTGGGAATGCAGCGAGTTCTTGTCCATGCCCACGCTAATCTTCTACCTTAGTGCTGCTGTGACCATTAGTACAACGCTGGCGAATGTATACTAGCATTTGTAGCAATACCCACATCAACAAGCCAATGTCCATTCCAACTGCACTGATCGAATCAGCCAATAACGTGTTGTGTTGCGGTCTGACGTGCAGCAATACGATCAGCCCTGCCTGTTCTTTTGGTTTGCAATCTCTCTCTTCAGGGCTTCTGGAAGCTTCTTCGCCGGGCACTTGCACACCTCGCATGTGACCGTGCCTCTGAACTGGGGCCGCTCTTTAAACCACTTCTCTGCGCAGGCGTAGTGGAGCGGCGCCTCGCCAAGGGCGCAACTGCACGCACACAGGACATCAGTCACGAAACAACGTCCGACCGCAGGTGTGGCCAGCGGACAACACTGGAGAACAACGGCACCAAGGCTTGGGTTACATCAGGTTCTCCAAACGGTTAGGAAAACACAATTTGGTCTCATTTAGCACTGTCTAAGCCCCACACACGGGACACAATCCTATCTCAGCTGTTCCATTTGAACGCATAGAAAACTGTGAGAAATCGGCAATATTTTTGATTGCAAGAGCGTGGTTTTTTTTACACTTTTCTCCGCAAACAAAAGCCAAGCATTGCATTACTACGTGGAAGGGTTGAATATACTACAGTAGGTGGCGCCTCCACTGTGGCTGTGATGGGATGAACGTGGCTGCGGGTGCATCAATTGGTGTCAATGGTACCGCATTGGCAATGCAACATTGCCCTTTCCTGCTGTTGACATCCTTGCCAGCAATTTGAACAACGCCTCGCAGCCGTAACGCCACAAGTGCCACCGCCAACCAAAGCACGGGTACTGCTACAGGGCGTGGGCACCCCCGCAGGCCCCCGCGAGTCACACCATCCCCTTAGCCTGGCCACAGAGCACAAATATGCTATATTGTATTGTATTGTAATTCCTCATTCCCATATTAATTTGTCGTCTATGATTATGCGGCATCATTTCTCCATCGCGCCTACGCCAGCTTTCAATCAAATTTAATTCAAACTTGTAAGGAGTATACTATCAAAATTTCAAGGCAATCCATTGAGTATTGAGGGTTTTGCAGTACTTTGTAGCAAGGGTCCTCTGGCCAGAAAAGGGTCGGTCTTGGGCGCTGCACCAAAAACAGCCGTCTTTGGCTGTTTTGAGGAGCACGCTTTCGCGGCTGCGAAGCAAACCCGCCCTTGCAAGCTATTCATGCCATTCAGATTGGAGGTCATCAAGGTGCATGCAAAGAGGTGCGGCAATGAAAACGCATTTTGAATGCCTTGATCGTCGAAATTGCTGTGGCTTGCAGCATAAATTCAGGCTTGATCTGGTTGTTCAGAGCGACGTGCCGAACCTAGATTTTTTGGCCAAGCCTTTTTGGGCTCCTTCGCCACTGTCAAGGCAATTGAGGGAGGTCTCTCAATCGTTTCAACAAGATCCAGAGACGGTGGTGGCTATCACCCCAATGTAGTGCGAACAATTAGAGAATCTGGCATTGCCATGGGCATGGCGATTTGTTCTTGTATCAGAGCTTTAAAGGATTGGTGCAAGGAATATGGACACAAAGGTGACTTTGGGTCTTTTGGAGTGATGGAGACTTGCTAGGTTCCAACAGATTATGTGCCACGCACAAGCTCGGCCACTGGATCCACAAACAATGGCTATTTTGGACTTCCGGCCTAGGGTCCCACACAAGCTTCGATTCAAGCATCAACTGAGGCGACATGTCCGAGCAAGGCTACCAAACGGCCTTGGAGCGATAGTACCCACTGAGTCCAGGCTTCAAAGGTTCAGACGTTGGCATTTTTGCTCGTTGGATGTCCGCCCTTCAGATCGAGAAAAGCAACAATTTCGGGCATCGTCAACGCTGCGACGATGGCCACCTAAGACAAGGATAAAGACATGTCCGAGTGTGTTTGGCAAGTGCTATGCCCCTTGCTGGGCCCTGGCCTTTGCCACAACGGTGGCAAACGCTGGCGTTGCAACTCCCAGGCACGGGAGCCCCCAAACCAGAGGGGTTTGCAAGACTGCAGAAATTGAACGCGCATTTTTTGGACAGTGTCAAGGCCATCGGGGAAGGGCCAGCTCACAGGGCTGAATGCTTTTCTTGAAAATTTGAATCTAAATGTTTTGAGACCCAACGTTGCCGATTCTGGCCTCCATTTGTAATGTAGATGCTGTTGTCATGACGAGAATTCTCCTCAATACACAACAATTTAATATGGTACGGAGGAAGTACTATACTGTATTGCACTGTATTGCATTGTATTATATTGGCCGAATCTGTGACGAAATCCTGTACAGGATCCCGCACCGGATTCCGACGCGGATTCGATGGGTCACGTCAGTCACGTGGGCAGTACACAACTCAGCCACGGGCCGCCCGGGCCGCGGGCCCTGACCATCGCCCCAAAACCAACCCCTCCCAGCCTGCCCGCCGGGCCCCGTGCGACACCCGGGGGTGTCGCTTCGAAGCGGGCGGTTCCAAAATTTTGGCCAGGACCCAAAGAACCTGCCGGCGCTTCCCACAGCGCCGAAGCGGCGCCCGGGGGCCAGCGAAATCGCCCGGTCGACGCGATGGCCACCATGGTCAGACTCGATTGGCCATACCGACGGAAGCTCGAAAGAGGGTCAGGGGCGGTGAAGGGCAAGTGGCTCGTTTGACGGGGGCAGGACGCTGAATTTGCTGCAAACGGCAGGCTGCAATTTCGACAACGACTCTGCAGAAAGCGGTCGGGACGGTGCTGTGACCTGCGGGTGGTGGAACGATGGTTGTCGAAGACGAAGAATTCACCCGCCGGTCGGACGCGAGCTCGCCGAGTCAACCGGCCGGTCGATCCCACCTCGCGGCGGGCGCCGCACGGCGCACGCGAGCATCCCCATCTTCCCGCCTCCGCGCAAGAAGCGAATGCATTCTAGAAAAATGCAGCCGTTCGGCTGTTTGGCAATCTTGGCCAAACGCAAGCCCACCGAGTCAGCCCGATGGTCAAACTAACCCGCTGCCAACGCGGTGGTCCACCTGCGCGCATTCCCATCTTCCCGCTTCCGATTCAGTGCTCTGGCCCCAACACCAGTCCACCCCCCACACCCCCACACCCCCACACCCCACCCACCCTCCCCACCTGCAGCCAAGGTAGATCGCCGACCCCTCCGCCAGGGACTTGTCCCCCACGGACCCCAGGCACACGCGGCATTGCCGGTCCCGGTCCCCCTCCGTTGACTCGGTCAACGCCGTCCCGTTGACCGCTGATTGCGCGTTGCCCGCCGATTGGCCCTTCCGCCCGTTCCCCGACGTGCGCCGCTTCAGGCCCCGCGCCTCAGGCCCCGACTCTTGCGTCACGACCGGGATCGTGACGTCAGCCTGGATCGCCGGGCCCGCCAACTCTGAGGACGACGCGGCGGCCAGCTCGTAGTCGCCGCGATCAACGCGGTCAACGCCCGTTCGCTGACCGCTCGTTGACCGTTGGCCGCCGTTGGATGGGATGCGCCGCAGCTTCTCCACCACGATCTCCAGCGACGGCATGGGCATGGTGCCGGAAGAAAACCAAGTCGTTGGCGAGTTTGGCGCCCGGGAGTGGCGTGGGGGAGCGGGGGGTGGGGGGAGCTTGTCGCGCCGCCGTTGGGAGGTGCTCGTGCTGAAGAGCGCCGCGGCGGGTTATGGGAACATCAGCGGCTCGGCGGTGCCCCCTGGGGGCCTGGATGGCGGGCCGGGGGGCCCACGGGGGAGCGGAATGGCGGACCGGGGGGGCCGCGGCCTTTCTGACGCGTACTGTCGGGCGGCGATGGCCCCGCGGCTCGCGGCGCCGATGTGCAGCTGCGGCGGGGGGCCGGTGGATCGCTCATGGATCGTTCCTGACACGGTCCACGCCTACGGCCACCCAACGTGGACGTATTTGGGCTGCACTTTACGCCGAGGCCACACGCTGCGGAGACTTCCCTGGCCCTTTTCACTTTCCTGTCCCCCTAAAATGTGCCCTGTATACGCCCAGGTCTCTGCCCTGTGCTTGGTCCGTATCCGGAGCACGAGGGTGTTCCGGACACAGACCGTGAGTCCGGAGATGAGAAGGAGGTGGAGACCCTGAGCATAAAAAGCCCAAACCCTCAAGCCCAAACGCCCTGACCCATCTCTGTCTCCGTCACTGTCTCCCACCCAAAACCGACCGTGACCCGTCTCTGTCTCTGTCTCATCTCTGTACTCGCTTACTCGTGTGATACGTATCAGGACCACTGTGGCGAACGTTGCACATGCGCTGGATCGTTGCCCGAACGCACTCGTCGCAGGTGAGAAAGGGACTGAGTGCGTCTGAACAAACTGCCACCTGGCTTTATGCCCCTGTGTCGATGCGCCGCCCCTGCCTGGGTCGCGCCTGCGCTTGCTGGCCACCGTTCCCACCACGCTTCCCAATGTCCTGCACCCGTCCATCTGAAAACCGGCAAAGGTTGGTACAATACTGTGGCCGCAGTGCCATTGATGCGATGCCGAGCATTGCTTCGCCAAATGCCCATGTGTCAATACTGACAAGCGTTCATGTGTCTGGGAACATTGCGTGTCAATGCAGATGCACTGGCCTTGCTGCACCAGTGTCCTGCATTGCGTCAATGACACTCCACACACAATATTGCATCCACGTCTATCATTTTCCCAGGAGACCTGGCGTCTTTCACGACATGCGTGCACGGACTTCACCGGTTGGAAGCGCCATATCGGCGATGCCAGCTGCGATGCCGTTTGGAACTGATTAGTGCCATCGCAGCAACGTAACTGTGAAGGCGCCAATCAGTGAAGTGTACCCGATAGCCATCGTAATCAATGCCAACTATTGCCATTGCAGCAATAATTGCCATCAACGAAGCAGGCTTCCTTGCCGTCTCAATCCCTGTGATGCTGCAGCTTAGCGTCAAATTGGAATCGCAGTTAACTACCAGCCACTAGGAGAAAAAGGGAACAAATGAAACTTTTGCGAACACACATAAAACACATTTCATCAAAGTTCTGCACGTTAAAAACACAAAAATAGCACAAACACATATACTTCGTACACTTCTGAACACGTGTTATTTGGGTCTTTTTCTCCCCGTGATGTTGCCATCGCCAAAACGCTGTCTTCTGCTAGTGCTCGACTGTCTGGCTCATGCTCCTGGAGGGCATCGAGGGCGACGGCCACCCAAACAACTGCTGCCCGGGCCACGCTGCAAGTTCTCGGGGGCATGGCAATGCATAGCTGCACATAATAATGTACAATTAAGCGCGGTTCTCACCATAAGCAAGCCCCATGTTTGCGATGCTAGCTGTGGTACAATTTAGGCATAAAGCGGGGCCGTCTCTGTGATGAGATAGCACAGAAGTACCTGTGATGGCATCAATTAGTGTCCAAAGGTTTCGCAGCTGACGTTGCAAAACTATCGTTTTCTGTTGGTGTACGAAAATGCTCGCTGCTACACGCTAGTAAGAGTAGCTAGAAACTTATTCGCGCGAGTTTGTCAAGCCTGCTGACTGCCATCAAGAGGGTGGCCTCATCATCTGTCTGTTTGCTTTAGCTTCGAAGCGAGCAAGATTGTGCGAGGCAGCGGCAACTGCTGGGGCCCACTACGCCTTCTGCCAGGCTTTGGCATCGAGGCGAGGTATATCCCGTGTCTAATCCGGCTTACAGAATGGCGTCAACATGGACCGCCTTCGCAGCAGCTTCATTTTCCCTTTGGTGCAGACACAGGTGGCGAAAGTTTTGCCAACAGCAGGGAAATAGATCGAACGCCTGGCACTCAAAGTAAACTCAAGCACAACAAACAAATTTATTTTCATATGTTGGGTGAACAGTCTAGCGCCTGCCAAGCCCAAAATTCTACCCAGCACACTCCTGCAGTTTTCTCAGTAACACTAGCAGAAAACACTACTCTGTGGTGCCAACTGCGATGCCATTTCGACACTAAATGGCGCCGTCAAATTAACTGGAATGGCATAAAAAATGTTTGATTGCAATAATTGTGTCAAATGGCATCACGGCTGGCATTGTATAATGTCGTTTTCTTTTGATGTAAGCTTCATCAGACGGGAGACTTAATACTGTGGTAATGCAGCAGTTTGGAAGCTCGTGTTGCCGGGAACTGCCGGGAAACATCAACGACGCTGGCTCATCCCGAATAAAATTGCGTCGCCTGCTAGGCGAAATTTCCCCCAAAATTGGCTTAACAACGCCTGACGGAATTTCAAACCCAGTGCCGACCTGTACTCAGCGCCCAGATGCGGACCATTCCACTTTGGATCTGCGGCCCCTCATGGCAACCAACGAGCTTTGAATGGCCAATATGCCTTGTTGACACGGCTCCGATTGGTCCGAACTCGTTCAGTGTCTGATCCAGCTGACGGGTTGTTGTCTGCGCAGGCCGCTCTTTCCGACAGCTTCGTTTGCTGTTGGATGCCAATAGGGCAACCAAAACTTTTCCCCAACACAAAGAAAAAGGATGGAACGCACACTACCAGAAATCGACATTTTTGCGATGCCAGCTGCGATGCCATTTGACACAAATTGGAGACATCACAGTGATTGCGATGGCATAAAAGTGGCTGTGATGGCGTCGATTAGTGTCAAACGGCATCGCAAAAATGTCGATTTCTGCTAGTGGCATTAGGAAAAAACTGGCCAGAAGACGCAGTCCTGACACGGTCTCCTGAAAATCCAACTGTATAATTTCGGCAAATGAGGTTCCAAAACAACACAGTTAGTACACACATTGACGCAGTTTCAACCTCATACCCTCAAACAACTGTGTAAATCACACGGCTTCCTGGTGCACACAGTTGAAACTGCGTCAATGTGTGTACTAACTGCGTGGTTTTGAGACCACATTTGCCGAAAGTTCATAGTTGGATTTTGAGCATACCTTGTCAGGACTGTGTCATCTGGCCTGGTTTTTACTAGTGACACCTGGCCCTCAACAGGCACATAGCCACAATCAATCGATTTAGTAGCAACTGGTACGTCGGCTGTTCACGGCCTTTCTGAACGTGGTAAGGGCCCCCTTAAGTCTCAATCAATTGCGTTGCAATCGCCTACGTTTTCCTCAGCGAGCTTTGCAGGACGGTAAATTCACGGCGCGACAATGTCTCAGTGTGGACGCATGTGGTGTCGGACTCCACCAGCCACGCTTCCCGGGCAGTGCAGCCAGCAAGAAAGGAAATGTTCATATAGAAATGCACGACAGACATTGTGTATATCCATTTACATTGCTTGAAGCTTGAATCCAGTACAACATGCCACTGCCTCTTGTATGGCAGTGCGCTCAGCGCCCGGATGTGTCTAGAACCACCCGTGGGCACCCGCAACCTCGCGGCAGCAAGCGAATTTGCCAGACCAACATGCGACAATATAACAGCAGAATTTGGTCCTATGTGCTCATCCAAGGATCTACCTATATACATGTTGCGGGCATTCATGCTATTCAAATACACATAGGAAAATCCTTATCAATGATGTGGCCCTGGCCTGGTGCTCGCTGCTTACCCTCCTTGCTGTGGCTTCCAACCAAGCGCCCACTTCCATTAATTAGTCGTATATGACAAACCTTGATATAGCACCTACGCCGAAGGCAGTGAAAGTGCTATAACCGCAGCAGCTACCAGAATCATACAAATGATGAAAAAGCGGCAACACGTCATGCTATTGACAGTCTCTGTGCTTGGCTCCAACAGACTTACGCTGGACGCATGGCTGCCCTGGGCATCTCTATTCCTGTCCAGCAGCCATATTTGAAATGATGAACCGATAGGCACAAAAGAAACACAATACAGAAAACACAAATTCTGCAATACACGGGCCCATCTTGTGTGCAGTCGTGTCTCATTATGAAATTGCGCAATATGTATACCGTATTTACCCAGTATTAGTGGGCGTGTATTGGAACTCCCATATGAGCGGTGGATACTAACAGTGGATCGTGGAAACATAAAAGAAAGAAAAATCATTCGTGGAAAAAAATGCAAACACAGTTTAGACCCCCTAATCCAAGGAGTATACAATGAAATTTTTGAAAATAGGCCAAAACAATACCCCAAAAATGGGCTTGAAAAAGAATGTTATGCGCTGGACGCCCAATCAAATGGTTGTATTCAATATTGCTTAAACTATTTTATTGCGATCCACGTCATTTCTTGATGACATAAATTGGTGCTGGGTGAGTCCTCTGGAGAGCGTACAATGAACACAGCAGCAAAAAACCGCAGTGAAACGCGATGCATGCAAGAGTGCTCAGCGATCAGTTCGAGCACATGTCGTTGGAAATTAGCAAATTATGCGGACTTCTGCAGCACGATTGCCGTTATTATCTGGAAAGCATAAAAGCCCCTATTGCAGCGGTGCATAGACTGCAAAAAAAGGGAACGAGCCTCCAAGTAGACACCTCTTGCACTAGGAAAAAACGGGCCAAAATAACACGTGTTCAAACGTGTACAAAGTTTACGGGTTTGTATTATTTTTGTGTTCTTAGCATGTGAAACTATGATGAAGTGTGTTTTATGTGCGTTCGCAAAATTGT